CTGGGTCTCTCTGATGGGACACCAACCCCAAAGTCTTCCAGAAAGCATCAAATACATATTCATCTGTAAGCACAAGCCAGCCTAGTGGGCAGAACCACAGGCTGGGAACCCAGGAGCCTTGGTTCTTCTTTTCAGTTCTGTTACTACAGCATCAAGCTTCCAGGTACCTTGTCTTTCCCACCTATCAAGAAGGATAAACTCCTCTCTATAAAGCCCTTGCAATAAAGTCACCTATCAATTACCCTGTCTTGTGAGCAGGATAGTACAAGACAGATGGCGTCAACTGATAATACCATATCACCATTTTGGCAAAAACCTTCAGTTTCCTTCCCAGTGGAACATCAGACCAGCAATGTTAATATCCTGAAAATTAAGCTGAGCTGTTTTGGCCCTTTCCCATTCTACCTCACATAATGATGGTTCTAAGAAGCAAAATGGCCAAGGAAATCCTGCACAAAGTGAGTTAGGAGAAATACAGCCTGAGTAAGCTGCAGTGTGCAGAGCTGGAGCCTGCAGGGTGGAGAGCACTTCCTTCATGCCATCCGAGTGGCCCCACAGGCACAGATGCTACTGGGGTTCTCAATAAGGGCAACCGCTCACCTTCCACTCACTGCCTGGGACATAACTTCTGCTCACTTAGCTCTCAGCTGCTGACATGCCCTCCAGGAACAGACTAGGGTCACAGACCCTAGTCCTAGCTTCTGCCAAGATACCCTCTGCCTTCCTGGCTACTAATATGACTTCTCCAGAGACCCTGAAAGCTGCTACCAAAGCTTTGTTACCTGCTGCTGGGCGGGCATCCCGGCCGGGGCCAGCTCCATGACTCTGGCTGACAGCTCGGCCTGGATGCTGTCCATGCCTTCGTACTGCTGACCTCGGTGAAGGGCCACTGTGATCAGCCTCCTGAAGCCCGCACTGGCTGCCAGCTGCTTCCGGCCCTCCTCCATGCCAAAGAGCCACTCGGTCTCCCGACCCTGGGGGACTGGAAAGAGGCATTTGTTGACAGGGAGTCCTGGGAAAAGTTCAAGCCCACAACCAATACGCCCTACGTGGCAGAGAGCCAGCCCCTACCCAAGCCCAGCAACCCTTCCAACTGTGACCTACTGAGGGGCTATCAATCCCCAGTCAACAATGTCCACAGCAAAGCGGCCATCAGACCCATGGCAGGACCCAGCGTGGAAAAGTGTGAGCGTGTATGTAAGGGGAGGGAGGCAAGTACCTAGTGCAAGAAAAATAGCAATAATGCTAACACTTCTTAATGCCAGGCATTATTACAAGCAGTTCACAAACAGAAACTAATCAAATCCTCACAACAGCCCAAGATGCAGGGAGTATTATTATTATTCCCATTTTATAAATGAGGAAATTAAGACACAGAAGTTACATTATTTGCCCAAGTTCACAGAGCTCGTAACTGGCGAAGCTAGGGCTCAACCCCAGGCAGTCCAGCCCCAGACTCCATGCTTGTATCCTCTGTGCTATTAGTTCTAACAGGTGCACAGTTAGGATAAGGCAATACTTGGAAAAATGGATTCAATGTCAGGGAACAAATTACCAGCATGATGTATCACCACCTCACGTTTGTCTAGAATATTCTACTTTTGAAAGCATTTCCTCATACTACCTCTTTTGATCATTACTAAGGTGAATCTGGTATCATTTACCCCTTTCAATAATAACACTAACATCTGTAAAACTTATCATGTGCCAGGCACCATTCAAAGAGCTTTTACACTTCTCACAATTACACAGTTAAGATCTCACTTTCTAGATGAAGAAACAGAGGCACAGAGAGAACACTAACTTGTCCAATACCACCAGGAAGCGACTGAGCCAGGACTGGAAACAAAATAGTCTGGTTCCAGAGCTCACTTTTTTAGCTACTACTCTGTACTGCCTCTGAATTCAGCAGAGACGCACAGAAACTTCCCCAGGTCACACAGCTTACAGGCTACAAGGCTGGGACTCCCGGTTGCTTCCACTACTCCTTGTTACAAAGTGACTAAATAACATCTCTACAAATGCGTGACCTGCCTAAATGTATCTATATTACTTCAAGCCTTTGCAATGGAAGATGAGAAGAAATAAACCTCAAATCCAAGCAGGCAGCTCCCCCTTCCTCATGCCTTGGCCAGTCTAACCTCTTCAAGCACCGCCCCCTGCAAGATAAAACCAGCCAAGGCATACCCATCCGCCAAAGCCCCAGCCCCAGCCCCTGCAAGCCAGCCCCCTCCAGGGAAGAGAGGGAGCAATCCCAACTCACTGATGAAAATGGCAAAATGACTGTCCCGCGATGGTTTCACAGTGGGGCTGTCCACCACGTGGAGGGTGTAGCGTGGCTCCCCCGTGTCCCCACTGCACAAGTCCAGAGACACACTCCCCAGCCCGGCCTTGCGGTACAGCTGGCTGCACAGCCAGGCATACTGCTGCCGCTCCCGCACCGCCTCAGCCAGCCGCTCGGCACTCTCCAGCCGCACAGGCTTGCCCTGCTCCTGAGCACACAGCTCAAAGATCTGAAGGGCAGAGCCAGGGACCGGCCTGAACTTGGTCATGATGAAGGCAAAGACAGGCAAGGAGAACCGAGGCTCTGCTTCCAACAGCTGGTCTTGGCTGTTGGCCACCTGGTGCACCCTCACCATCCACCCCTCCCGAGAGAAGTGACCCACTGCTTTCTTCAGGACGTGAGCCTGAGCCAGGGAGATGCAGAGGTAGCGACCGCCCACCTGCAGGACACGGCCAACCTCAGCCAGCATCCTGTCCACCTGCTGCAGGGTCTTCTCCTCCTCATCTGTCAGGACTGCGTCCAGGGTGCCCTTGTCCAACACCACCTGGAATGAGGCATCGGGAAACTCCATCTCTGTCATGTCCATCTTCAAGAAGCTCATCTGGGGCCGTCGGCTGGCATTGCGTTCCTTCATTTGCTTGATGACGACCTCACTGATGTCAATGTTCACTATATCCTGATAGCCCACGTCATACAGCTGCTCGCTTAGCTCTGAGTTTCCACACCCAATCACCAGCACCTAGCAGGGGGAAAGAAAACAAGATGGAGGTCATCAAGGCAAAGGAATGAGCTTCAGACACTTCAAGGAATCAAGTCTCACCCTGGCTGCTGTATGTTTTCAGAGGGCGAAGATGCTATGCCATGAGAGCGCACCATTACAAAGTGGATTCTAGGCTCCATCTTGAAACACCACTGATTAGAAGAACTCACTAGTAACAAAGCACATTCCACTATAACAATGCAAGTTATGCAGAAACAAACTAACCGGGGTTGTTCTTTTCTCTGAATCAAGCGTTTATTAATCAACTGCAGGAACAAACTAATCATGGTTGTTCTTTTCTCTTAATCAAGAATTTATTATTTAAGAATTGATAGGAAGTCACAGAATCCAAATACAGTAGTTACAACTGAAATCTCCTATTTGTTTTACTGTTGAAAACCTAGGTCTGGCATAATCCTATTCCATTCATGCCTTTGGCTCCAACTCACGATATTCTGCTATTTTCTGAAGCCAAACTTAAAACACAGGTTGCTGCCTCCCTCTCTGTGGAGGAATCTCCCATTGATCCTTCAAAATTCTGCCCTGATATCACCATCTCTGGAAAAGCATCGTACAATGACAAGTGCATAAGCTTTGGAGCTAGGTGGATCTAAGTTTAAATCCCCACACGACCACTTACTACATGTATGATCTTGGGCAAGAAACTGGCTCTCAGAGCCTCAGTTTCCTCATCTGTAGAATTCGTGTATTACCACTCACCTCAAGGTTTATTATGAGAACTCAATGACTGAGCAAACACACACACACACACACACACACACACACACAGCATAAGGTTTGACTCTTAAAGCTTCCTCCTCAAATCTTCGTTTTCTACCCTTCTTCCTTCCCTACTTCCACCTCTATCAAACCTCCTATTACTGTACTTGGCACTTTTCACTTCTGGAACTTGCCCAGGATTTATATGTTGATGCTCGTGTGGCTTAAGGGCTGAACACAGTGCCTGAAAGTCAGTGGGCCCACAGCAACTATTTGATAACAGATTCATTTATCAGTAAAGCCACGGGTGCTGCCAGCTCCACGAGGAGGCACAGTGACAGAAAAGCACACTTTCCTCACTAGGAGGAGATGTCTAGGTTGCACTACTAAAGAAGTGAGGTTATTCTTAATAACCTCATTCATTCTTCCAGTGAGGTTACTAATTCAAGAAATGATCTAGGGGTGGAAGCTCTGTTATCTGAAAACCTTTAAAAGGATATTTTGTAATTACCTTTTAGCTAGAATGTTGCATGGAATCCTGAAAATATGGGCCTGTTTAGGGCCCCCCACGCCTGTCACCGTCTACCAAGTGCAGGATTTCTGTTATCAGTTCCTACTTTCCAGGGCACACACAGGGCTGCCAGGCCGCGCTTACCTTTTCCCTGGGCTTGATATATTTGTGCAGCAACCCGCACAGTTCCAGGTAGGTTCCATACCACTCGAAAGCTTTCTTTCCCCGCTGCTGGAAGAACTTCTCCCAATAGTCAATGGAGCCAAACTCCTTAGGGCTTTTAGGTAAGAGATTCATATTCCCACTGCTCGAGCTGCGTCTTCAAGACTCTCCTACTCCCTGTGCGGTACCATCCGAGGGGTTTCCCCACGCGCTGGTTCTGGAACACCGCAGCGGGAATTCTTTCCACGGACAAACAGCCACATTGACTTGTCCCTCACTCAAAACCCAAAGAGATGATCCTTACACGCCCACCGCACACGTAAGGCACTGAACCTAATAAACGCTCACCCCCTATTCCATCTCAAAGCCCCAGACCCATGTGGGGAGTCCCTCACACTTTTTCAGAGCTCGGTTTCAGAACCGGCAATTATATCCGGGTGCGAGGCTTCGCGATTGGTTGGCTGTCCACATCATCTCAGCAGCTCATTGGTCAGTGATTTTCGTCCTGGCACGTCACTGGCTGCAACGCCCTCGCCTCACGCCGGCGGCTTCGTCGCAGGCGCCGCGCTTTTATTTACGTGAGCCGGAGCGGAGCGGGGCGGTGCCAAGGGCCGGAGGCAGGGCGGGAGCTGGGCTGTCCCGGTCCCAGGCTTACGTCGGAGCACCGAGAGGGGGCAGCCTTCTCAGCTCTGGGCTTTCAGCCTTGGAAGAGAGCTCCCGGGTCCCAGGCTGTTTGTTCCTTTCGTCTCTGAGCTCCCATTCTGATCATGAGCCACATAAGGTCTGAACGCTGACGGCGGTGGGCACACTGGAGGAGGGAGGCCTCGGAAAACGAAAACTTGTAGATTAGAAGGAAGTGAGGCAAGGGATGAGTAGAGCCAGTCCATAGCAGAAGAAAGCTGCCCAACCCAGCTCTATCTTCTGCATCTCCCGCCCCACCCCCGTCTTACTTTAACCACTTTACTTGTACAATTCAGGTTTAATTTGGAGGAAAGTAGCACTTAGCTGTGCTCAGCTTTCAGGATCTTAGTTTCCCGAGCAGGGATTTAAGCTGGGACCCCAGCAGTGAGAGCGCCTAGTCCTAACCACTGGACTGCCAGAGAATTCCCAGGGTTTCACTGTTAATAATTAACAACATGGAAATTCAGGGGGAAAGAATAACAACCAGTTATTCAGAAGTGCGTCCTCTCCCTCTTCCTCCTTGCCTCAAAGCACAGTGTGCAAAACTTAAGGCTCATTTTGGTAATTGGCCTCCTCAGGTTGTCATTTGGATGTCATCTGAAAGTAGTACTTGGGACTTCCCTGGTGGTGCAGTGGTTAAGAATCCGCCTGCCAATGCAGGGGACACGGGTTTGAGCCCTGGTCCGGGAAGATCCCACATGCCGCGGAGCAACTAAGCCCATGCGCCACAACTACTGAAGCCCGTGCACCTAGAGCCCATGCTCTGCAACAAGAGAAGCCACTGCAATGAGAAGCCCGCGCACCACAATGAAGAGTAGCCCCCGCTCACTGCAACTAGGGAAAGCCTGCGTGCAGCAACGAAGACCCAAAGCAGCCAAAAAATAAATTAATTTTTTTAAAAAAAGAAAGAAACCTCCTAGTATCCTTGGGGCCATCCACTGTTTGGCGAAGAGGATGAAATACTTAAATCAGGGAACTCTTGAAGACCATGGATAGAATTCAGAGGGTCTGTGAACTTGGATGGGAAAGAAATTACATCTTTATTTTCAGTAATCTCTAACAGATATTAGCATTTTCTTCAACTATAAAATGGAGCCCCCCAAAACCCTCAGCAGTTCGAGTGATAGGAATCACTAAGATTTTCATATCACATTACAACCATAGATATCTTGAAATATTGCTTATGCTATTACTAATTCAAAATCATGGTAGATGTTAGGCCTGGCGCTAGATTTTATTTAATGAGTTAATATATCTTAGTGTATCACAAATTTTTTTTTAAATATTTTATAGCATTATAAATTTCCTTCCTTTGTAATTCTGTATTTTGATGCATTTAGAGATATTATTTTAATAAGAGGTTCCTAGATTTCACTAGATTGCCAAGGTTCTTGGTACATAATGTGTATGCACAGTGCCTGTCACTTAATAGGAGGGCCATGAAGGATGCTTCATGGTCATGAGAATTTTTCCTGTGCTTTTGGTGCTGCCTTAAATCTATCATTACGTAAAGAATAAACCACAGGGCTTCCCTGGTGGTGCAGTGGTTGAGAGTCCGCCTGCTGATGCAGGGGACTCGGGTTCGTGCCCCAGTCCGGGAAGATCCCACATGCCGCGGAGCGGCTGGGCCCGTGAGCCATGGCCGCTGAGCCTGTGCGTCCGGAGCCTGTCCTCCGCAACGGGAGAGGCCACAACAGTGAGAGGCCCGCGTACCGAAAAAAAAAAAAAAAAAGGAATAAACCACAGAGGCCGGCTTAGTCCATAGAGAAAACTTGACTACAGTTTTAAAAAACATTGTTAGGGAAAGATTTATTATTTCACTTTTTTTTCATCCTCTGAAGAAAGTTTGAAATGTATCTATTCAAGGTATTTTGATGACATAATTTCATTCCTTCTAAGTAACTGCTCATATGCCATTTGTGACCATAGAACCTAAAGCAGGGAACTATGATAATGGAGCCCTTGTGATTTGTGATGTCAGTGAAGTGTGACTGTGACTCTGAGACCAACTTTATGGATCATGTTATAGGCTTTGAAATGAATGTGAACAGAGGATGTGATCATTTCTTTGCTTAAAAAAAAGATTAAAAATGAAAAACGAATAATTCACTGCTGTAATAAAGGAAAATAGGAATGATAAATGTGTATGTATCATGCATAAAAAGGTTTAGATACAGCCTATATATAAAGAGAAATATAAAGTAAAAGGAGACCCTACTTTTCTTTCTACCAACTCTGTAATATGTGGCCAAAGGGGAGCTGACCCAAGTATTTCTGAATAAACGATGCTGATTGAATGTGCCTTCATTGCCTGAAGAAACCAGGATCTTCTCACTCTGGCTCACCACCCAGCCAGAGCCTATAATAAGTAATGCACTCTAACTACCCGCTTGTATGTGGGAGGACTTAAGAAACTCTCCCTTTCAGAAACCCCTCCCTCCCGTTTTCTTGTGTAGTCACTGCAAGTGAGCTTATCTCTTTATAGTAGTTTAAGAGTAGCTTGAATATAGTTCTACTTTCAGGTCTGACGGAGTAAATTGAGCCACACCAATTCTCCCTCTAGGAATAAATGGAAAAGCCAGATAAGTACCAAAAGCATCTCTATAAAGCAATCCAAGTGCTGTTGGAGCAACAAGACTAGAGGAACCAAGATTCCAGAGGAGGAACTGCAAAATGGTGAGCTTTTTCCTTTGCCAGCTGGAGGTGCTTATAGATTCTGGGTACAAGGCAAGATGTTGAGCATCGGGGCTTCGCCTGGGTCAAGGGTCATTGTTGGGGAACAAAACAAAAAAAGCACTTACATTTTGGGTTCTCACAGGACTGAAGAGACAAAGCTGAAATCTTGGAGAGCCAGGATTTCAGGGAGAAGAGAAGAGTGAATAACTGAGCGACACAGATGGTTTCCCCACAAAATTTTGCTGAATGCTGAAGCTACTTGGGGTGGGAGGTTAGGATGAGAAAATCACTGTTTTTCAGAAGCTTTCTGCTTAGCATCTTTATCTATCCAGCAGAGATGAGAGTGATTCCACTTTGGAGAGGGATAACATCACATAGATGTTCTTTCTTATACTCAATTTTTTTCTTTCTTTTTTTTTTTTTTTTTTGCTACACCGTGCAGCTTGTGGAATCTTAGTTCTCCCATCAGGGATTGAACCCACACCCTTAGCAGTGAAAGCGCAGTCCTAACCGCTGGATGGCCAGGGAATTCCCTCTACTCAATTTTTAATACTTGGTTATTTTATATTCAATAGTCAATATCGAATGAATATCAAAAACTATTAGGTATACCAAGAGATAAGAGTCATATCACCAAAATCCAAGAAAAAAATAGATAATAGAAACCAGTAATTCGGGTATTAGGTTAGCAGACAAGGACTTTGATTAAAATATTTTTAAAATATGATAAAAAGATAGAGAATTTCCCCAGGGAATTAGATCTAGTTTTAATGGAAATTCTGGAACCAAAAAATACAATAACTGAAATCAAGAGTAGCCTGAAAATCAAGAGCAGGTAGGGAAATATGTCTGTGCACATAGATGCTGACACAGGCTCGGGATGTGACTCAGTTGCATCTCTGGAGCCCTGTGTCAGTGCCGGAACCCTGAGATCTAGTGCAGACTCAAAGGATTTGCACACACGTTTAAAAAAAAAGAAAAACTTTTAAAATGTAAACACACATTTTTCTTCAAGAGTATACTCTTAGAACTGTGTTGCAGTAAACAAGTTTCAAAACATAATGATGAGTTCTTTGGTCACAAAAACTTCCTCAAGAATTCTCTCAAAATAATTCTAAGCACAGGTCCATTATTAAATTTACTACCATGACATTTTAGAATATAGTTGCAAAACTTGTTATTTATCTGTAAAGGATTGAGGGAGAAAGGCAGCACGGTGATTGCCAAAAATTTTTCTTAAAATTATTCCATAGGGATGATTGTCATTGAGCTTGAGGCCAGTTAGATTTCCCACAGTTAATCTCATATGCCATGGTTCAGACCTGGACCTTCCTGACATTGAGGCATTCACTGTAATGTAAGCTAACATGATGAATTCAGAGTCACAGAAAAGATGCTATGAAGTTTTCTGGTTAAATAATTGTTTTTCTTTTAAAATGGGGGAGAGTTGGATGCTTAATAAACTCAAAATAACAACATAACCAGAGCCGGAAGGAAAACTGTTCTATTATTAATTATTAAAAGAGACGTGATCTACTACAACATAGGGAAAAACTGAATATGATACAGCAAGCTATGGATGACTTAGAAAGGTGTTTTCCAGTTAACTTTTTTTTTTAATTAAAGCATTTTGCTTGTTTACACTTCATGAGTAAAATACAAAGAGAGAGTGCCTCCTAGAAATAGATTATGATTTTTTTTTTAATTTATTTTTGGCTGCACTGGGTCTTCATTGCTGTGTGTGGGCTTTCTCTAGTTGCAGAGATCAGGGGCTAGTCTTTGTTGCAGTGCACATGCCTCTCATTGCGGTGACTTTTCTTGTTGTGGAACACGGGCTCTAGGCACTCGGGCTTCAGTAGTTGTGGCTCGTGGGCTTAGAGCCCAGGCTTAGTAATCGTGGCACGCGGGCTTAGTTGTTCCACGACATGTGGGTAGTTGCTCTGCGGCATGTGGGATCTTCCCGGACCAGGGCTTGAACCTGTGTCCCCTGCATTGGCAGGCAGATTCTTAACGACTGTGCCACCAGGGAAGTCCAGATTATGAAATTAAAGTGCACTTCAGGTAAACTGATAAGGTGAAATGACTATGGAATCCCAACATAAACATTTATTTAAATACTTAAAGACAGTGATATTGACTAATTAGACTTGGAATCAAATTGCCTCTGTTTCCTTTCTTCATTTTATTTTTGTAAGTCACAAATTTTCATTTTTCATACTTTTTGTTTTGTTTTGTTTTGCAGTACGCGGGCCTCTCACTGTTGTGGCCTTCTCCCGTTGCGGAGCACAGGCTCCGGACGCGCAGGCTCAGCGGCCTTGGCTCACAGGCCTAGCTGCTCCGTGGCATGTGGGATCTTCCCGGACCGGGGCACGAACCTGCATCCCCTGCATCGGCAGGCAGACTCTCAACCACTGCGCCACCAGGGAAGCCCACTTTTCATACTCTTTTTTCTCACTTCTGTTTTCTTGAAATGCCAAAAGAAAATCAATGGCAATAGGCCAAACTCTCACTAGCTAACTTTTAATAATAATAAAACAGTACAGACAAAAGAGCAGGAAATCTTTAAAAATGGAGAAATTGTATATTATCTTGTTTATAAGGTGAACAAAAGAATATGTAAATATTTTACTAAGAGCTTGTGATATTCTTGGAAGACAATAGGAGGTGGAGATTACTCATTCTTTTGCTGCCTGGGAAATGAAACCAGTACTATTGAAAGTAAGTGACTTTGTGAAGGTCAGTAAGCAGGCAAAGTGCTTCTAGGAATCCCACGCACTGGCAATATAAAACATTCTCTCATGCTTTCACTTCCCTTATTTTCTTTTTTCTCTTGTCTTTTCTTCTCATTCAAAAGCAAACTTTAAAAATTAGAATCATCAATAAATATTTATTGTGTGCTTGCTCTGTGCAAGGTACCACGGAGGATAAGAAGGAATCTAAGACAGAGTCCTTGATTTAAAGGAGCAGTGAAAATCACGATTCTAGCCTGATCTTCACAGCTGCTGAGAATTTCCTTTTGTTCACCATTTCACCATGGTTAAAGCAGCTATTCCAAACCGTCTCCATTTTCTTTAAGCTTCCACCTCCAACACTGCTTTCTTGACCCTTCACATAAGACCTTGCTTGCCTTTTACTGATCATTTTGAATCTATGAGTTTCCTTAACTTCTCTCTTTTCCATTTCAAAATCTCTTTATCTTCATCATCAGTCACTTCTTTCCCCCTTGCCTGCAAGAAGGTATTCTCTCTCCATCTTGCCCAGAACTCCCCTCTGCTACTCTCAAACACTGATCCCCCACCTCTTCAGAGATATCACTCCAATGTCCGTTGGTGTTTTTTCTTTTTTTGATTTGCATTTTCAATCTCATTCTCACACTGGCTCCTTATTCCCCATTCCTAAATATAACATAGTTATTTCTGATGGTACCTTAACCCTATTGCTGCTTTGAGTTGCAACTTCTCTTTACAACTGAATTCCTTGAAAGAGGAATATATAATCTGCATTTCCCCTAAAACTCAACTCTTACAATATGGCTTCCACTTCCACAACGTTACTGAAACACTTCCTGAAGATCAATAGTGGTCTGCGAGTCAACAAATCTGATGGCTTTTTCTAGCCTTCATTCCCCCGACCCCTGCCCCCTCCCCACTCCCTCCCCACCCCCAATTTCTCTGAAGTCTTTGGTGCTAATGACCATTCCTCCTTCTTTTACACTGTCCTGTCTCTACTGTTTTTCTGTGTACTGCTCTGGCCACTTCTTATTGAACACCCCTCATCCTCTCACCCCTAAACACAGACATTCTCCTAAATTCTGCTTTTTTTTCCTTATATACACTCTTCTTTGGATTCTTCTTCATAGAGCTAATAGTTGAAGCTGAGGATTCCCATGCTCTGGGAATGCTAAAACACTTTCCCCAAAGAAAAGTGCATTTAAGGGAAGGGGCAGACTTTATCACCTTCCTTTTGTCTTTCCATGGGGTTCACTTAGTTGGCAAGAGAAGTGGGAGGCGAATAGGTCAGAGCTGTCTTAGAAATGGCTAAGATTCCTCTATCTAGGACCATGGCTCCTGCCAGATAGCCCCTCTCCTACAACTGTGGCTCTTGCTTTGTTCTGTTGTCCCTTCTCTTGCCTTTTCATACCTGGGAATAGTAATGGATTCCTCCTCTTTCTTGTCCTGAGGTGTATCAGCATGTCTGCTTGATTCCATTTGTGGTTTTAATTTACTGTTAGACTCCTACAAGTAATTCAGTTTTGATATTACAGTTCACCTTAGGCAATTCTATTTGCTAAGATATCCATATATGTGTGTGTACATGTAAGTATATATTCCATTGTTCACTTGAATCTATAATTAACTTAACTCAGTTTTCAATAGTTGCTTAGTCTTGTGTTTCTATGTAAGCATGTGGGTTCTTGGAGGACAAAAAACACTGTTTACCATCCTTATATCACCAGACTTTAACAGAATACTTGTCACATAGCTGATAGATGAATTTATTCACTTTGATATAACACCCAAGATTAATATTACTATCTTCAGCAAGAAATTAAAGTTGTGTTTGACCTTCAACAGACTAAAGCCTCCTTAGTCATATAAGATCATCACAAGACATTAAGCCTGACAGATTCCACCTTTACCATGCTTTAAGAATAAATTGTCTAATTTCTATTTTAAGGGCAAAGCATGCAACCCATTTCAATAAAATATTTATCTCATCTTAATTTAAACTTATAGCTCTGCAATATTTACTAATGTGCCCAATTTTACCATACTCTTACCTTGGACAAATTACATAATTCATCTCAAAGCCTTGGTTTCCACATTGATAAAATGAAAAAAATGATACATGTTATCAGAGGGTTGTTGTGCTGAAATAACATATGCTAATCACTGAACATAGTGTTTAACAAAATGAGCATTTAGTAAGTGGTAGCCATGTTTAACTTTCAGAGAAGTAGCAAGTAAATTTATAATACAATTAGAGCATATTACTACACAGGTCTCTGTTGTTGCCATCTTTGTGGGAGGCAACTTCTCCGAGATAAAATGCTTATAACATGTCACATCAATAAACAAGAAGTTAGGAGAGGAACAAAGCATCTCTATGAGTCTATCTTATAATGTTAGATCTAACATTCCATGAGGAAAGCATAGGGGACATTCCATTTTATTACATATTTTTTAACAAAAATTAAACTACCATAGAGTCTATCTTTAAAAACCAGACTCCACTTAACCCACTTGCTCTGTTACTCATTACTGTACATTCTCTCTGTGAACTGTACTCACTGTTGCCACAAAGGACACAACTGGCACTATTGGCAAACTTTGAATATGGAAGCTTTATTAGAAAATAGTATTGTATCAATGTTAAATTTTCTGAATTTGAAAACTGAATCATAGTTATGAAGAGAATGTTCTTGTTCTTAGGAATAGCCACTGAAGTATTTAGGGGTAAGGATGCATGATTATGTAACTTTTAAATACTTAGGTGGGGAAAGAGGTGGGGAGAGAATAAAGCAAATGAAGTGAAATGTTAACAACCCCCTTGAGTTAAGTCGAGTATACTTTCTGGCCCTCTGTTCCTTCATCTACTAGGAGAGAGAGATTGGGCTGAACTCTTTCAGTATTATTCACACTGTGAGCCATGAAATTCAATGAGGAATGGAGCCTGGCATCAGAAAATGTTAACCAGTGAATCTGAAAAAAGTGTTTGCAAGAGTTCTTTGTATTTATTCTTTGGTAAGTCTGAGATTCTTTCAAAATCAAAAGTAAAACAAGCTAATTATATTTACATAACACCAAGGCCCTCTGAGCACTAACAGGTTAGAGGCTAACAGGTTAGCTATATGATATACCTGTGTACTTCCTCACCAAAACAGTTGAGCTGTATGCTTATCAAGAGTCAATTTGGGGCTTCCCTGGTGGCGCAGTGGTTGAGAGTCCGCCTGCCGATGCAGGCGATACGGGTTCGTGCCCCGGTCCGGAAGAATACCACATGCCGTGGAGCGGCTGGGCCCGTGAGCCATGGCCGCTGAGCCTGCGCGTCCGGAGCCTGTGCTCCGCAATGGGAGAGGCCACAGCAGCGAGAGGCCCGCGTACCGCAAAAGAGTCAATTTGTATTTGTAACCTAAAATATTTATGCCTCTTATTATACTTATGGAATTTAAATATTCAAACCAATGAAATACCAATAAAAAGTTGTTTCCATGAAAACTAAATTGATGAAGGTGAACAACAAATAAATTACTATAGAACAAGATATGGGTAAGAAAAATCTGTAAAACTTTGGAAAAAAATTGTACAAAATCTAGATTGACTTGGCACTCAAATTGCTTCAAAGTGTCTTTAAGTTCTTGCTCTGCTTTGAAGAAAAAGAAAATGTAAACAAAGTAATTTATAACAAAAACAATGAGGTGCTCCAACAAACAGATTCAGGCTCAGATAAAAGGTCTTAGCCCTACTTCAAAGATCAGTGAGTGAATGTATAAATACACATTTGAGTCAAAAATTTAAAAGTTAAAGTATATCTGCCATTTTTATGACCTATTGCTTTAACTGACTTTTTAAATTAACTGATCAACAATTGGTCTCTATAATCAATCCCAGCCCAAGGACATCTTGCTAAAGGAATTCAATAGATACAAACTCTCCTGCTAGTAAATACTAGTTTGTAGCCAGGAAGTCTGTTATTACCATACTTTTAAGATTTGCATGCTTGCTTGCTCTCCTAGGAGTATTTCCCTCTAAAGGGAGAGCACTGATTGTAGATCTGCTGCTTAACTCCTTCCTTCCCAGTCATTGATAGATTAAAAATGATATTTCATTGTTTATTTTGATTTACATTTTGACTGATGCTGAACAATTGTTCACAGGCTTATAACTGATTTGTATTTTTTTTCTGCCTCATGGGAGAGAAGATAATAGCAACAAAATATTGAAACCTGGAAAGTATATGAATTAGTGGCAATTATCTTAGCCAACTTGAGAGACAGGAATCCTAAGCAGGTCATGAAGCAACCTAATTCACACAGCTAAACCCCACATAAGGGAATTGAAAGCACCAGATACCTCTGAGCATGGTGTGGGCTAAAAACAGAAGGAATAATAGAAAGCCTATTTAAGAATCAATCAGAAGTCCAGAGATTTAGTCCTCGAAGAAAGGATTTCTGAAAAGAAAGAACAAAGGATCTCTGGCGAGGAGGATATTAGGCCCCACTAAGGGTGAAGGTCTAAAATTGAAAGGGAAATAAGAAAATTAGAGGACCAACATCTGAATAATTGGAGCTTAAGAAAGAGAAAATAGGGTAGGAGATAATCAAATAATTCAAATTGGTGAGACTGGAACCCCATTCTGACTTTACGTCCAGTGCTATTTATATTCTTTCAGGATAGCTGGTATATCTGATTCATATTAACTGTAAAAGGACATTTTCTAAGCTTTCAGAAATGTTGGGGATAGTCAGAGACTTTGTTCAGGTGATTAAAGGGTGAGGCTTGCATTAGCCCTCCCCAAACCAATTATACCAAAATATTTGGCAGAACTAAAGAACAATGGTTAAAAAAAACAAAAAGAATGGTTTATTCATGCAAGCTATGCAATGACATGCCAGTACAGCTCAATAATCATATTGCCTTAAGTTGTTCTGTAAGAAGGGCAGAGGCTGTAACTGGCTAAAGCTCTAACTGGCTAAGGCACCAATGCAGGGAAGCAGCCATAGCAAGCAGATATGCAGATATAAAGTCAACTGTGGACAGGAAAACACAAACCAAAAAACTTCTGGGTTATCTGTGGATGGGTAGTCTCATCATCATGCCCAAGCAGAGAAACATACTATAAGCAACTTCCCTTCCAGGTGGACTATTTCAGTCCAAGTCAACCTGGATCCGAGTGGTGGACTCACAGATCATGAGCGAGTCTAACATCAGGCTTTCAGAAGCTTCAATTGACAACCTATGGCTTACTGTTTCTCAACATCCCAGGCCAATTAAATCAGAATCTCAGAGTAGTGCGGGGGCATCCATTTCTAAAGCTTTCCAGGTGGTTCAACTCTATGTAATTAACTTGAGAGTCATTGCCCTAGCCAAGGTATCATTCAATTAGTGTTTGTTTGGCTTAAATATGCACTAAATCAAAACACTGTATTAAACAAAGGACCCAAAGATATTTAGTAGAAATGACATGTAGCAAAAAAATGGATAGGAAAAAAATGATAAAACAATCCATCTGGGGCGTGTGTGGGAGGAATGGATAGATAAGACAAACAAGAGAAAGCAAAAACGAAACTGGAATTGTTTTGGATTACTATGCCCAGCCACTGCAGGCTTAAATATGCTACTAACTTGGGGGGAGGGGAGGTAGGCGGTGTCAAGAGAACAGTGGAATGGACGTGCAAGAGTGAATTCCCACCTGAAATCTGAAGGCTCTGGTGTCTGCCTGGTGTCTGGACCCGGTTATTTTAGGTTAGAACTCTACTGCATACAGGGGAAAGAATGAGTCCTTGTCCCAAACCTGTCCAACTAGCTGTGCAACGTCAAGTAAATCTCTTCGGACGAGAGATTCCTAATGTCTAAAATAAAGAGCCTGGATTAGTAACCCTGAAGATCTCTCTCCTGAAGATCTCTCATCAGTCTAACTCTGATGCTATAAACAAGGGATCACACACATCTCCTTACTTCAGGAAAGGCCCAAGACGAGCTGAAGCCGGTCGTCAGGCTTCGAGCCATCCTCATTTTTCTGCTAGGCTTCCTTAGCCCGGGGAATGGACTAGGCACAAAGCACCACGTTATTAAGGCCTCATCAACCCCAGCCAGGAGCAAGCCCTAAGGCGCCCCACCCTGCGTGACTTCTCAGAGCTTCCACCACCTCCCCTGAACTTCCGACCTCCGCTTGGGACCTCGGGAGCCCGCGGCTGTTGTTCCTCCCTTAAAGCACAAAAGCATCCCGGGGATCCAAACTTCGCTTCCGCTAGGGCCTCTAGGTAGAGAGCGGAGGGGGGAATCGACTCCCTCGACGATCTCTGCGGCCTGGACCCGCTCCCTCCGCCTGGCGCCAGGCTGCGGAGCGCCGAGCGGCTCGATGAGCGGGGGTGCAGCTGCGGCGGAGCGGCAGGCGCCGGGTCCGCGCCTACTGTCTTCCCCCTACCCGCTTTCTTCCTCCGCTTCCCACTCCTTCCTCCGCCCGCCCAGTCCTGCCCGCCCCGGAGAGCTGCCCGGAGCTCCCCGGGAGACTCAGGTACGGCCGCCCGCCTGTTCCCGACGGGAAGGGGTGATGTGCGGAGAAAGGAAACGGAGACGAAGTCCCTGCCCCGCCGCCCCCAACGTCCGCGTCGGGCAGGGGGACCGGCCTCGGGGGCAGTGGAGGGAGCCCAGAGTGGGAAAAGGCTGGGGTCGGACCGGGGGTTCCCAGAGGAAGGGCGACCAGGACAGGGGTGTGCGATGGGGAGCGGTTAAGGGGGAGAAGAATGGAAATTGTAGGGTGCTCTGGGGAAATGGGAAGAGAATAGTGGCGGGGCTGGGGAAGATTGGAGAAGAGTGGGAGGCAGCCCGGACTGCGAGTGGGGATCTTGGGACAGAAAGGACTAGAGTTAGGAGATGTCGGGGGACGTGGCCTGGTGCGACAGATGGGGTGGGAGGGGGGTGTGTGAACGGAGCTGCTTGCTGGAGGGATGGATTTGTTTCACCATGAAAAGGTTTGGGAGAGAGAGCACCAGCCCCGCTGTGTTTATAATGACCGGAAGGTGAGGTGAATCATTACACTTTGACAGGTTTTGTGAATAACATCTCCAGGCTGTGTCCATCCAAGTCACTTATTTCCGTGAAACTGCACCAACCAAGACTGCTGATGAGAGATGAGGAAGAGGAGTCAGAAAGGGAACGCAGGCTGGGAAAAGGGAAGCCTCTGTCCAGATTCAAGCTTTTTGTGAAATGAAATACTAGGGGGGTTGGTGTGCTTGTTGTTTGCATAAAGCAAAAAAGAAGCCAACATTTGCTAAACAACAGGTTAGAAGTTTATTACTTGTAAAGCCATTGAATTCAGAACGTACTGCCTCTTCAAAAAATACATACATGAAATTGTAAACATATGATGATGGCATAAGAAGCGTATGGTGATGTGACATTTTAAAAATGTATTGGTGATGTTGAAATACATCATGAAGGTTCTCTTATTTACATATATACCTAGACACAAACACCTGAATTCATATGTATTTTGTACAGGAGAACTCTTAGGTAGAATATGTATAAATCTAATTTCTGAGCATTGTTTATTCTACTAGTCATTTGGTGCAAATACCATCATTTACCCTGTGCTTCCTCAAGCACAGTTAGTTAATCTGCCTGCTGCTTTGCTGATGGCTTTTATGTTTGTCAGACAGTGATTTCTTGCCTTCATGAAGCTGATTCTTGGATTATGGGACCTGAATTTGGGTTTGCTCATCATTAAACTTGTAGCTTTACTGTATATTTCATAAAGATGTTATGTAAGTTGGCCTGTTATTTGCTTTTGGATATTGAAGCAGACCCTTTGTAGGGTTTAAAATATAAATAAAATACAGGTATAATTAAAAGCTCTAGTTCTTCGGTTGCTTACTTTGTCATCTGTCTCTCCGTGCATTCTGTAACATTTCTGCATGAATGAATTATTCTGAAATCAAAGTATGAGGAATAAAATGGGTCAGATGCTGGATGTACGTGACAGAAATATTGTAGAATGAAGAACTCTAGAGCTGTTAATTAGGTAGCAAGTATTTGGTTTTTGTTACAAGTGGTTAAGTTTCTGGTTTGGAAAATTATTTCTTATCAAAGAAAAGTGTATCAATTTGTTTTGATCGGAAGTCAACTTAAAATTTTACTTTATTTTGTTTATGAAACTGGACTCTGGGCTTGTTTATTCTTTTTTAGGTGTATGATATTAACCAACAAATGTCTAATTACACTTAAAAATCTTAGAGGTTCTTCTCGTGGAAAGGGAAAGAGGACTGCTGGATTGTTACAGGGAAGTGGTCTTTCTAGAACAGAACTGTATAACCTGATAGACAATTGGATAAATATTAAAATGGATCATGCACAGCCATTAATAATTTAGGCCTGTGTTTCTGATATTTCAATCAGTAGAGTGACTAACACTATTAGTTACTTATCTTTTACCAAGCCTTAGTTTTCTCTTAGTTTCTTTGTGCTTACTTTGAAGGAGTGTTGTAGTGAGTAAAAGAAAATGTGTGTAAATCGCTGAGCATAGTGCCTGACACATAGTAAAACATTCAGTACACCTCTGCTATTCTTATTATTCATCCATCTTCTAGTCCAAGATGCTGAAAACTCGTATTTGCTTGTCAGCTTTTTCTCAAGAAAATTTTGAATATGTTGCGTATTCAAGCATTTTCCTGGAAAATCATAATGCAAATTAGTATATAAAAGACTGTGAGACTTTCTGTAGCAAACCAATTAAACAAAAAACCTGGCTTTGTTTAACCCAGTACTTTCCAAACTTACCCCTTTTCCTGGAGCACCTAGTGTTTGCATTAGAACAGGACGTTGTAATTGACAGAATGTTTTTGCATGTGTGTATTAATCTCATTTGACCATCCCAACCCCATGCAGAAGCCTAGAAATCACTATTTTACAGATGAGGACACAGAATCATTGTTTAAGCAACTCCCTAAAAGTGAGAGAATTAGAAGTGTTCTGCCGTCTTCTGACTCCAAATTAAAATCTTTAAGCATTTGATGTCTCACTTGCAAGGGGACAACCTCCTAATTTTCCCCGTCTCCTGTACAAGCTGCTCTTTGATTTTATAAAAATATTTTCGCTAATTTCCCCCACGTGTTCTCTAAAAGTTACCTCCATTTTCTCTTTTTAACTGTTGTGTATTGAGGCCTAGCTTGGAGGCCAGGGTCACTGGAGTGGAGCAGGTGAGAGGGAGCAGCTGCAGTCGGAGAAGTGGAGGGACCCCACCATATAGGGCCTTGTACGCTGTTTTCAGTACTTTAGCTTATACCCCAAAGTCTGAAATCTGATGAAATTTATTTTCTCCTTAAGGTGGTGAAGACTTATTCTGCTGAGAAGTAGAAGAGTACTTCTTCACTAAAAAAGATGCCTCCCAAGTTTAAGCGCCACCTAAATGATGATGATGTCACTGGTTCTGTGAAAAGTGAAAGGGTAAGTTCAGAATCTTAATCTTTAAAAAAGAAAGATTCAAAATATCTTTTCTTTCCTTTGTAAATAATTTGTTTTAAATAATCTAATGTTTATGGCTATATTCGAATCCTATTTGTTTTCTTCATAGTAAACATCAAAAAATATATGTTACTTAGATTGGGACTCAACCAAATTCTATTTCCATTATTGACCAAATCCCAGCTTCTTTCTAGTCTTTCAAAGGGAATTTTGTACAAATACACAATATCTTATTTAGTACTCTGGAGCCAAATGTGATTGGAGTTCCTCAGAAATTTTCAGATTTTACAAAGGTAGTTAGTGCACATTATACAAGAGCCTTTTGGGTGTCTAGAGCAGCACCTCCAAACATATTAATATTTCTCAGTGGAATGTCTGATTATTCTAATTAAGTATATAAATTAGCTGACATCAATTCAGGTAAGATTTTCCTCCAAATGAGTTTTCACTCCAAAGCTTATAAAATCTCTTGGTTTTCAGAACTTTTTAGATTTTGGAATTGCAGATAAAGGATTCTTGTCCTGCAGTTGCCACAGAGTCCAGAGTAGCTTTTATATAATGTTCAATTTTTAGTTTATTTCAGAACATTCTGTGCAGGATTGTATAAATCTAGAAATTATGCAGCATTTTGGAAGATAGTATTGATATGAGTATTGTAGATAGGCTACTTTTTTTTTTTTTTTGATAGGCTACTTTTAGAATAAGTAATCAATAAGTATTTATTGAGGGAAGGAATTAGAGCTATTCTTTTTCATCCAGCAACCTAAAACCCTCCCTCACTTCCTATCTTCTTGCCATTCCTTTATTTTCTGATTCATGCAACAAATGTTTATTGACTACCTACTATGTGCTAGGCATTGTGCTAAAAACTAGAGGGCATGGTCTCTGCCCTTAAACAGCAGATAGTCTGTTTGACTTCATTTTACATGCTCCTTTTCTGCACAACCTTAGAACCTCTGTCTAACATCTTATGATTTAGGAGTATCTTGAAATACAGTACAGGAATCATTTGTCATCCCTTTATTCTAACTCTTTATTCAGTGTCTGTTTTTGTTTTGCTTGAAGGGGGATACAATCCACCAACAGACTAACTGCTAGTAAACTTTTTAGAATAAGCTTCATTTACTCAAAAATATAAAATATACAGTTTCAATCAGTTCTACTTCTAAGACCATAACTGTGTCACTTTCTTTTTACATTGTTGGTTGAATACTACCACAATTTATTGTAAAAATAGGATATTAGATAGCAGAATTGAAAAAAAAATTGGCTGTTTAAATAGAGTCCTCCTTTTGAATGTTTATCAGATCATGAAATTTGATAACTGATTGGTTCTAAGAATTTATAAATTACTTTTATAAAACTTTAAAAAATTTTGTTCCTCTTTCCTGTAACACTTTTCTGATAACAGCTTTATTGAGATATAATTAACATGCCATACAATTCACTCATTAAAAGTGTACAATTCAGTGGATTTTAGTAACTAGTATTTAGTACCAAATTGTGCAACCATCACCACCATCAATTTTAGGACACTTTCATCATTCCAAGAAGAAACTCTGTACTTTTTAGCAATCATCCCCCGTCCTCCTCATCCCTTCAGCCCTAGGCAACCACAAATCTATAGATTTGTCTATTCTGGACATTTTATATAAATGGAAGCATACACTATGTTGTCTTTTGTAAATGGCTTCTTAGCATAATGTTTTCAAAGTTCATCCATGTTGTAGTATGTATCAGTACTTCATTCTTTTTTATTGCTGAATAATATTCCACTATATGAATATACTACACTTTCTTTATTCATTCATCAGTTGATAGACATTTAGGATTATTTACACTTTTTGGCTACTATGAATACCACTGCTATGAATGTTCACATACAAGTTTTTATTTTCATTTCATTTCATTACATGTTTTCATTTCTCTTGGGTAAATACCTAGTAGTAGAATTACTGGGTATTATAGTAACTCTATGTTCAACCTTTTGAAGAATTGCCAAGAGTGGCTGCACAATTTTTATATTCCCGTCCAGCTGTGTATGAGAGGTCTAATTTCTCCACATTTCTCCTCACCACCAATTTCTCCTCACCAACACTTGTTATTATCTGCCTAGTGGGTGTGAAATGACATCTCATTGTATCTCATTACCCTTTTTTGGTAATGTATCCCTAGCTCTTGTGTTTTTGTTCAGTGAATAAGTGTAAAGACATTCGTTTTCATTGTGTTTCTCATTGGGCAACTATAATAAACACACTTTAGTATCATCATCCTCTAAGGCAAATAAACTGTATTGTAAATGTAATGATTGTTACTTATTAGCTAGAAATATTTGTTGAAGGAAGTAATGTATCTTCCTGAATATTATTGACTTTGAACATGTTTTCATGTGGTCATTGGCCATTTCTTTTTCTGTTAGGAATTGTCTATTTCTCTTCTTTGATGATTTTTCTATAGTGTGTCTTTTTCTTACTAGTTTGTCAGTGATCTTTATATAAGAGAGATACCAGACCCTTTAGTCTGAAAGTATGTTGCAGATTTCTTTCCCAGCCTGTTACTTGCCATTTAACCTTGTGTATGATATTGTATGTTCTTTATGTTTTAAATTTTTATGTAATCAAATTCATGAATTTTTTTTCTTTAGAAATTCTGGGGTTTGTGACTTAGGAATAATTTACTCATCTTAATAGTTAAATACTTATTTTATGTATTTTCAGGCTTTGTAATTTCATAAATAAATGGATTTAAGGTCACATTTTCCTTTAGGTACTGCTGTGACCATACTCTACAGATTTTGTCTTGTAATGTCCCCAGTGTCATTGATTTCTAAATAGTTTGTTAGGTTTGCATTTACCTTTTAACATTTTAACAGAAGAGTGTTTTAAAATTTCCTTTTATTTGTTTTAATTTCCATTGCATTATGTCCAGAGAATGTGGCCTGTGTAATTTCTAGTTTGGGCTATTTATTAAAATTCTTTTATTGCTTATTCATTTCTTGGATATTTGAAAATAACATTTGCTGAGTACACAGTTCTGGATTATTATTTTTTTTTGTCTTCCTGGTTTCTCCATCTTTGAAGGATATGTTAAAGCTTTCCTATGATTTTTGAATGTATCCATTTCTTCTTATAATTTGAGCAGCTTTTGCTTTATGTATTTTGAAACTATATTGTTACATATAAACATTCGTTGCTGTTAAATCTTGGTGGATTGTGCATTTTGTCATTGTAAAATCTTATTTGATTGTTTAATGCTTGTCCTAAAATAATCTCTTTATATTACTTTTGCTAACTCTAACATTCTTTTTGTTAGAATTTGATAATATATCTCTTTCATCTCTCTTTTTTCTTTCATCCTTTATTTGACATTTATTTTAGGTAAATTTCTTATAAACAGATATTGGCTGCAATTTTTTTGAACTCTAATCATGTATAGTTTTTACTTTGAGTAGGAGCATTCAAACCATTCACATTTATTAAGGTAACTGATATATTTGGACTTTTTCTGCACTTGCTAGTCCCTCTGCTGGCAGCGAATGCTCTTCACCCTGATCTTTGGTTGGCTCTTTGTTATTGTTTGGATCTCAGCCTAAATTTCACCTTTTAAGAATGATTTTCCTTGACAGCCTAATCTTATTTAGTCACCCTGTCACTTTTTATCCCATCACTGTTTTAATTCTCTGCATAACATTCATCACCATCAGACCTTGTCTGTCTTGTCCAAAGCTGATGCTTAGTACTTAGAACAGTGCCTAGTACATAGAAGATGCTCAGACATAGTAGTTAAATGAATATTGAACACATCCTCTTTTCATCTTCTTACTCTTTGTGTATTATTTGTTATAATATATAGAGATAATGATATTCATTGTATTTCTTATGTTTTCCCTATTTTCCCTAACTTCTTTAACTAGATGGATTATTTTTCCTCACTTTTTCCCTGCCCCCAGGACCACTAGGCAGTTAAAAATTTCCTCCCTTTCTTTCTCTTTCCCTCTCTATTTTTAATTAACTTTATATGTTAACAATAATGTTTAAATTTGTGTTCTCTCTCAACATGCCAAAAACTATGCCCCTCCACACTACTTTTTCATTCTAGGCCTCTTCCCACTTCTCCACTCCTCTCCCCACCAAGATGAGCATGTTACTTTGCTTTTAACTTCCTCATTTTACTCTCCACTTCCTGCTTTTGGGTTTTGTGAGAAAAGTTTTAGATTCTTGTAGAATTTTTCTTTATATTATGCATTTTTCTCTTTCAAGTTATAGTTCACAATCATCTTCCATTTAGATTTTTTTTTTTTTTTCTTTTTTGCGGTATGCGGGCCTCTCACTGTTGTGGCCTCTCCCATTGCGGAGCACAGGCTCCAGACGCGCAGGCTCAGCGGCCATGGCTCATGGGCCCAGCCACTCCGTGGCATGTGGGATCTTCCCGGACCGGGGCACGAACCCGTGTCCCCTGCATCGGCAGGCGGACTCTCAACCACTGCGCCACCAGGGAAGCCCTTCCATTTAGATTTGACCACACATTTTATTAGATGTACTGAGTATGTCAATCTCCATCTTAAGATCTTTGTTCTGATTTAATTTTCTTTTTAGCTGGTGTAATTCCTTAAGTAGTTACTTCAGAAAAGGTACATGGGTGTTGTATTTGCTTCCTGTTGCTGCTTTAACAAATTACCACAAACTTAAAACAATACATATTTATTATCTTATAGTTCTGGTGACCAGAAGTCCAAAATGGATCTTGCTGGGATAAAATCAAGGCACTGGCAGGGCCATGTTCCTTCTGGAGACTATAGGGAAGAAGCTCTTTCCTTGCCTTTCCCAACTTTTAGAGGTTGCCTGACCTCCTTGCTCATGCCCCTTCCTATATCTTTAAATCCAACAGGGTGACATTTTCCAACCTCTGTCCCTCCCTCCCTCCCTCCCTCCCTCTCCCTCTCTCTCTCTCTCTCTCTCTCTCTCTCTCTCTCTCTCTCTCTGTCTCTCTCTGTCTCTCTCTGTCTCTCTCTCTCTCTCTCACACACACACACACACACATACTTCTGCCTCTCTCTTTTTTAAGTACTTTTGTGATGACTTTGGGCCCACTATATTGATCTTCCAACCTCAAGATCCTTGATTTAATAACTTCTGCAAAGTTCCTTTTACCATTCAAGGAAACATATTCACAGGTTTCGGGGATTAGGATGTCGACATCTATGGGGAGCCGTTATTCGGCCTACAAGTTGTATACTGTTTGGGTTCTTGCATGCTGAAAAGGTCTGGGTTTTGCTCTTCTTCAGCCTCCTTTTGGAACTTTGTATCTTCTCCTTTTGGGTAGAAGGTGAGACATTCCTCATTTTAATAAAAACAGTTGTATCTTATAAGGTAAAAGTATAAAGTTGTTTTTGTTTGGAAGTTCAAATATGTGTAGAGGGCTATTCATAGGCCGAGTAGCTGTTAGGTGGACTGTGCCAGTTAATAAACCCTTGTCTCTCAGCTCCAAACCTACCTTCTATACTCTTCTCTCTGATGCTAGAGTTGGACTCGGCAGCTACATTTCTCCTTTGCCCCCAGCTGCTTCTTAGGTTCTGCTGATAGAGAGAGACTGGAAAGCAGGGGGAGGAGGAAGGACTTGCCCCTCCCTGATTGCCTGCATCCCTTACTCCCATGCCAGCTTCAGTGACCTCTCTACCTTGTGGTCAGTCAAAGGATTCCGGGCTTATAAGCATTTTCTTAGAAAGTCTGCAGTGTGGTTCCATATCTTTTAGCTTCCAGTGAAGCACCTGTAATTACTCTTCCCTGTGTCTGGAAGCTTGGAGTTAAGAAATTTCACCAGGATAGAACTTGTTTCATTACTCTGCCCCTGACAGTTTGTAAGCCCCTTGGAATCTAAAAACTCAAGTCTTTTTCTTTTTTTGACAGAGAAATCTTTTGGAAGATGATTCAGATGAAGAAGAGGACTTTTTTCTGTAAGTTTTTTGTTTTTCTTTTTACAGCTTTATTGAGGTGTAACTGGCATACAATAAAATACATATAAAGTATACAATAAGAGTTTTGGCATATCCACTGTACACCTGTGAAATCATCATGAAATTCAAATAGTGAACATAGCCATCACCTCAAAAGTTTCCTCAAACCTCTTGGTAATCTGTCACTCTCCCAGTCCCAGGCAGCCACTGATCTGCTCTCTATCACTGTGGTTTGTATTGCCTAGATTTTTTTTTGGAAGTGGAGTCATACAGTATGCCTTTTTTACTGGCTTCATTCACTTTGCATAATTATTTTGAGATTCACCCATGTTGTCGCATGCATCAATAGTTTGTTTCTTTTTATTTCTGAGTAGTGGTCCATTGTATGAACATACTGCAATTCATTCACACATTCACTTATTGATGGATATTTGGGGTGTTTCTAGTTTTTAGCTATTACAAATAAAGCTGCCATAAACACTCATGTACAGGTTTTGTGTGGACTTATGCTTTCATTTCTCTTGGGTAAATAGGAGTGGAATGGCTGGTGTATGTTTACAGCTGTTTCCCAAAGTTGTGTACCATTTTATATTCCTCCCAGTACTGTATGGGGGTTCTAGTTGCTCCAGATCCTCATCAGCACTGCATATGGTCAGTCTTTTAATTTTAGCCACTCTTGTGGGTGTATAGTGGTATCCCATACGGTTTTAATTTGCATTTCCATAATTACAAATTATGCTGAACATCTTCTTTTGTGTGTATTTGCCATCCTTATATCTTCTTTTTATTTATTTACTTTTGGCTGTGTTGGGTCTTCATTGCTGTGTGCGGGCATTCTCTAGTTGCGGTGAGCGGAGGCTACTCTTTGTTGTTTCAGTGGCTTCTCTTGTTGTGGAGCATGGGGACTAGGTGCGCAGGATCCAGTAGTTGTGGCACATGGGCTCAGTAGTTATGGCTCGTGGGCTCTAGAGCACAGGCTTAGTAGTTGTGGCTCAAGGGCCTATTTGCTCCGTGGCATGTGGGATCTTCCCGGGCCAGGGCTCGAACCCGTGTCCCCTGCGTTGGCAGGCGGATTCTTAACCACTGTGCCACCAGGGAAGCCCCTTATATCTTCTTTGATGATGTACATGTTAAAAATCTTTTGCCCATTTCTAAGTTTGTCTTATTAAGTTGTGAGTTTATTACATATTCAAGATACAAGTTCTTTGTCAGATATATGTTTTACAGATATTTACTCCCAGTCTGTAATTTAATCTTTTCATTTTCATAACTGTGTCTTTTGAAGAGCAGAGTTTTGATTTTGATGAAATTAGTTTATTAAATTTTTCCTTTCATTGTTTTTGTTTATTTAAGAAATCTTTGCCAAACCTAAAGGTTCTAAGATTTTCTTCTTTGTTTTCTTCCAAAAGTTTTATTGTTTTGACTTTGACATTTAAGTCTATAATCTATTTTAAGTTAATTTTTTTATATATGGTTAAGGGTGAAGGATCATTTTGGGGGGGCCAGGGAGCATATGGATATCCAACTGTTCCACCACCATTTGATGGAAAGATTATCTTTTCCCTGTTGGATTGCCTTGATGCTCTGTCAGAATTAATTAACCTGGTCAATCCTTTGCAGTTTTGATTAGAAAGGGCCTCGGTTTTATTTGCAAAGTGAGGAAGGATGACATATTGTTGCAGAAGTTTTCTCTGGAGGCTCATACCTCCAGAAGGGTATGCCTGGGAGGAAACATTTACCTCCCGCTTTGCTATAATGTTGTGGAGTTTTTTATAGAGGCTTTTTTTCCCCAAATAAAAAACATTGTATAAAGCATTTTATAAAAAGTAATTGACAGCCATGAAGCAATTGGCAAAAAGAGCCTACAGGATGGAAATCAAATCCAATAATAGGAAATAGTATCATTTTTGGCAGGAAAGTCAGATGAAGTGGGAAGATAATTTCCTACAGGTAACAAGGTTTCCAGAGTCAAAAAGCTAATTGCTCATAGTGCCAATTACAGTGAGAAGCCTTAGACTAGAGCAACAGCTACCTGTCAACAAAGGACTCAGTATTGAAAAGGTCAGATGCTTTGGCTAAACAAGTGATCACCCGAATGTAAGTGAGAAACAAAAACTTTTCAGGCTAACTGTACACTGGAGGTTCACTCCCAAATAATGCTGTACATCTTCCAAAGGGCCTGACGACAAAACCGGCACACTACCACACCCTGTGATTCTGTCTATGTATTGAAAGGGAGACAGAGCAAATAAAATTTCTGAAATAATTTTTTAAAAATTAATCAACACGGGCTTCCCTGGTGGCACAGTGGTTGAGAGTCTGCCTGCCGATGCAGGGGACACGGGTTCGTGCCCTGGTCCGGGAAAATCCCACATGCCGCAGAGCGGCTGGGCCTGTGAGCCATGGCCGCTGAGCCTGTGTGTTAGGAACCTGTGCTCCGCAACGGGAGAGGCCACAACAGTGAGAGGCCCACATACCGCAAAAAAAAAAAAAAAAATTAATTAACACCTGTTGATTATTATGAACAATAATCCTGTTCATAGCAGGATTATTCATAATTGCCAAAAGGTGGAAGTAACCCAAGTGTCCGTCAGTGGAAAGATAGATAAACAAAATATGGTATGTACATACAATGGCATAGTACTCAGTATTAAAAAGGAAGGAAATTCTGACACATGCTACAACATGGATGAACCTTGAAGACATTAATTATGCTAAGTGAAAGAAGCTGGTCACAGAAGGATACATTTTACATGATTCTTCTTATCTGAGGCCTAGAGTAATCAAATTCATAGAGACACAAAGTAGAACGGAAGTTGCCAAGGGCTGGGAGGAGGGGGAAATGGGAAATTAGTGTTTAATTGGTATAGAACCTATTCTTTTTTGAGTTTTATGGTTTATACCTTATTTTCTATCATCAGAAGATGGAAAATTACTTAAAACATCCAAAAATTTTAATTTTCAGATTATTAAAATGGATTGATTTAAATGATACAACACTCGACTATAATGGAGAGATAATAATTTGAGAAATGTTAATATTTTCATAGACTCTTAAATTTCCCTTTAGTTATGTTGCTAAGTTTTAAGATGAGTAATCAAAAAACATACTTGAAAAATTTTAGTGTTTTGAATGGATTTTTCTCTACATCCATCCCTCAAAGCAGCATTTCATTAGAGCCTAAATTCAAGGTAGTTGGACTTCTAGTGTTCTATAATTGATCATAAAGTTATTCATAGTCACTGGCACTTTAGTTTTATGGTATTTCAGAGTTTAATGATTAAAACTACCTGTGTATAACTAACAATTATATTAAAAGTGATAACATTCAGAAGAATTAAGTTGTGATGGCCTGCACTAAGTACCAATGAAGTACCGACATGATTAAATATCATTAGGTTCCATCAGTACCAGTAATATGTGGTTCCTTATGATAAATGATCCATGTTTAGAATTCAGCAAGTGTGTGTGTTTTCTGTTTTGGGGTTTGTTTTAATGCTCTCATTAATATGTACTTGGTGTTTTGTTTTCAGAAGGGGACCATCTGGACCAAGATTTGGACCTAGAAATGAAAAAATTAAGCAGTAAGTTTGTGAGACGCTCACTTGTTTAAATGATTAGCATATTTCTACAAGGACCAGGGGTTGGCAAACTACAGCATATGAGCCAAATCTGGCTGCCACCTGTTTTTGTAAAGTTTTATTGAAACACAGCCATTCCTATAGATATATTGGCTGCTTTCAAACTACAGTGACAGATTTGAGTAGTTGTGACAGAGACCTTATGGCCCACAAAATCTAAACTCTCTACTATCTGTCTGGCCCTTTACAGAAAAATTTGCTGAGCCTTGATGTAGACTAATATTACTACTAGGTTGTAAAAACCCAGTCATTCTTTTCATTTTCACAAAGTTACCTCTTAATTATAGCTAAGGAGATGCAATTCCTGGTTGTTGGTTTTCTTAATTTAATTATTATATATCAAATTCATTTATTTAGCATAATCTCAGGGTCTATTTTGGTTTTAAATCTATAGCTTGATTCCCATTTTCAGCATGATAATAAGTAATATAATAGATTTAGTTTTCTGAAGTACAGTATCTTGTTTATATACTTCCAGAATTTGTTCATATCTATTACTTATCCTAATCCATTTATTGATCTAAGTTTTATGGCTCATTAATTTTCAGTTTAGAGCTTTTCTGTATATATTGTTGATGGTAGCTGGTGGATAATGCTGTAGTGAATGTATCTAACATTAGAATCATATGAGTCCTGGCAAGAAGGGAGAAGGAATGAATGGAGCAGTGAAATAGGCCCGGAAACTTACCGAGCTATAAAAGATAAACTGGAAGATAAACTGAATGGCCCAGGTTCAGGATCTAAGGAGGGGTAGTTGCTACCCTAAGTCTGGATATAGATGGCACATAGTGGGAAGGGTACTGTAATGGGATATCAAGTTATTGATGAGGGACTTTCCTGGTGGTCCAGTGGTTAAGACTCCACGCTTCCACTGCAGGAAGCATGGGTTCGATCCCTGTTGGGGGAACTAAGATCCCGCATGCTGCGTGATGTGACAAAAATAAATAAATAAATAATAAACCACAGTTTAAAAAAGAAAAAAGTTATTCATTAGATACTTGGGCTTTAGTCAGGTAGTGGTTGTTGTGAAGAAATAGGTCCACATTTATCCTGATCCTAGCTAATGGATTCTGTAATACAGAAGCAAGGTACCAACAAATTGATTTGACTACTAAATGGGATGTTTTCATTTTCTATTGCTGTATAACAAGTTACCCTGAACCTAGCAGCCTAAAACAGCAAACATTCATCATCTCACATTTTCCATGGGTCAGGCGTTCAGTCACTGCTTAGGTGGGCCCTCTGCAGGGTCTCACAAGGCTGAAATTGAGGTGTCGCCAGGGCTTTGATCTCATCTGAAGCTCCTGAGTAAGCTCAGGTAGTTGTTGACAGGATGCACTTCCCTGCACCTGTACAACCCACAGTGCTTGCTTCTTCAAGCCAGCAGAAGAGAGTCTCTGCTGCTTCAAGTGTCTGATTCAGCCAGTAAAGATACAATGAGCCACTGAGATTCAGACAGTTTATTACTCACATAGATTGTCAAAGGAAGAGTAGCCAAAGGTGCCAGCTCCCTGGGTTCTTGTCCTAAACACCAAAAATGATGATACCAAAATAGAGGGGTCCAGGTGGCTACAGTATGAAAAGTGAGATGCCCTATTACAAAGGAGCCAATTCTCGCCTGCAGCTAAGTGGTTTTATAGTCTGCAGGTATATCCTGCCGAAAGCCTTATATGTCATCAGAACCTGGGAGGTGATAAGAAACTGTCTCATGACAGTCTCCTAGAGGAGATGGGGAGGTGAGTGGGAGATGGCCTCAGAAGCCACTCATCCTCATCTTTGGAAGGATCACAAGGCATTCAAGGTTGCGAGGATGCCATGGCAGAACGGTTGCCCTTCTGAGCCAGAGTGACTTCTCTATCCACCCACATATATACCTCAGCTGCCACAGGAGAAGAGGACTCCACTGATGACACACCTGTTTTTTCCCTGCCAGTGTGCTTCATTTCCTGTCTGACATCCTCTGCAGAGTGAGCCTGGTACTGAGTGTGGCCCAGTGAGTCTTTTGAGTATGACTTTCCAGCTGTACAGAAAGTCAGCTGACTTTCCAGCTGTACAGTTTTGTACAGTTTTGTACAGCTGTACAAAACCAGTGCCAGTTGTACAGAGTGGGCATTGCAGGATATGTCTATGTTAGTAAGTGCCAGGCACACATGCACATGAATGTGTATATGTGCATATTAAATTACCATAATAACGTTGGTGATCACAGAATTTTAGAACAGTAAGGCACTATTGAGGAAGTGTAATGGCTCTTACTCTAGAGCTGAAGGCTTATCATACGTACTCAGAAAATGGTCAGTCATCAAAACACACAAATTAACCTTTGGCACAACCACATGAGTGTTTATCTAACCAGGGCATGACTCAGGCGTGTGCCCAAAGTGGCCCCAAATGGTGGAGCACAACCTGCTACGCTACTTGCCCAAGGACAGATTCCTGGCATTTGTTTAGTAACTAAAATTGGGAGCACTGGTGAGTTTCTTTAAGGTGTGTTGTCACCACTTAATGTGTAACGTTTCCATACAGGGTGGTTTTTGTTTTTTTTTTCCCCCGGTACGCGGGCCTCTCTGCCGCAGCCTCTCCCGTTGCAGAGCACAGGCTCCGCACGCGCAGGCCCAGCGGCCATGGCTCACTGGCCCAGCCGCTCCGCGGCACGCGGGATCCCCCCGGACCGGGGCACGAACCCGCGTTCCCTGCATCGGCAGGCGGACTCCCAACCACTGCACCAGGGAAGCCCCAGGGTGTTTTTTTGATGTGTGGATCAGCAACATTGTTGCTTTGTCTGCATTTGATTGACATGTTGATAGCAGATTAATCCCACAAAAATGCCCAGTGTCACTTTCTTTTTTTTAATTGAAGTATAAGTTGATTTACAGTGTTTAATTTCAGGTGTACAGCACAGTGATTCAGTTATATATATATTCTTTTTCAGATTCTTTTCCATTATAGGTTGTTACAAGATATTGAATATAGTTCCCTGTGCTGATACAGTAGGTCCTTTTAATGGGTTCTTTAGTATTCCAATGTCACTTTTCAGGGAAGATTTTTGGGAAAGATTTTAAATAGTCACATGCCTATATAAAAAATTTATGATTCTCTTTGGAATGTTTCCTTTGCTTTTAAATTAAATAGTAGCATTATAAATGCCACTCCAATGAATTGTAGACATTCTCTGCCACAAGTAGGAAATCTCCTATCTATAGCCTTGGTCCAACAAGTTTAACTTTATTCCCCCAAGGAATGTTCTATGATGAACAGATACACATATATACACATATATACGTATATATGTACATATATACACATATATACTATATGTGTATATATATAATTGCAAAAATACAGCATATATACTACATATAGTATATATGTATGCGTGTGTGTGTGTATATATATATATGTGCAAAAATACAGCATATATTTAAAACTTTTTGTCAACAGTACCTTAAGAGGCCACAAGATGGGGGTGTTAACTGTGAAAATAAATATTTTCTTTATAAAATAACAGATGAATGTGTGTTGCAGAGCATGAGCTTTTTTTTTTCCTTAATGGAAGAACACTGACATTAAACACATGCTAAGTGTTAGGAACCGTGCTAAGTGTTTAAAACACACTTGTCACATCTAATTCTCATAAGGGAAAGATTATCATCTTCATTTCAAAGGTGAGAAAATATGAGGCTCAAAGAGGCTTGCAAAATGACTTGCAAAGCCACATACATAGTAAGTGATAACGCTGAATTGCAAACCCAGATCTGTCTGTGTCCAGAGCCTGGCCTCTCTACACTACACCACGTGGCTTCCCTGTAGTGGTGATAATTAGAATAGAGACATCTCAGGAACACAAGTGCTGTCAGACTCTAAGCAGGATTTAAAACGATGTTAAGGGCTTCCCTGGTGGCGCAGTGGTTGAGAATCTGCCTAATAATGCAGGAGACATGGGTTCGAGCGCAGTGGTTGAGAATCTGCCTAATAATGCAGGGGACACGAGTTGGTCTGGGAGGATCCCACATGCCGCGGAGCTACTAGGCCTGTGAGCCACAACTACTGAGCCTGCACGTCTGGAGCCTGTGCTCTGCAACAAGAGAGGCTGCGATAGTGAGAGGCCTGTGCACCGCGGTGAAGAGTGGCCCCCGCTTGCCACAACTAGAGAAAGCACTCGCACAGAAACAAAGACCCAACACAGCAAAAATAAATAAATAAATTACTAAAACAATGTTAAAATGTCTTTTCTCTACATGTCTTGATATTTTCCTGGGTATGTTCTCTCTTGTGTCCTTTCTTCTACTATATGACTCTAACAGGAAATGATATAAATCTCCACCCCCTCCTTCAAAAACTTGCTTTTTCTTTGAGTCCTTAATTTTCTATTTCAGTTAATGACCATCATCTACATCTACTCAGTTGCTCAAATTATAAATCTAGAAGTTCTCTACCCTTTTCTTGCCCCAGCTCCATCACCCATATCCAGGTAATCATTGGTTCCTGAAATATCCCCTCCTGTTATTCCTTTAGCCTAGAACTTTCCCACCATCCATCACCTTTTTTACTCTGCCCAGTTCACTCTTAACCTCTCAAAACTCAGCACCAGGATCTTGATGCCATCTCTGGTCCAGGCTGGATTCATCTAGGCTGCACGACTGATACCATGTGTTTCCTTCCATTATGGCACTTGACATATGGTAATATAATCCTAGCTACCAGTGTTCCCCACTAGACTGTAATCTTACTGAGGATCAAAACATTCACATCAGTATCCTCAATGCGTAGGATAATAATAACTCCTTAATATATATTTTTGAATAAATGAAATACTTAATTCAGATCAGAAAATATTTGTTGAATGCCTATTTTCTACTAGGCACATTTCACATGACCTGGGAAACAGATGAGTGGGACAATCTCTGTTTTTAAGGCATTTACAGTATAATAGTGAGGATAAGACCAACATAAAATAGAAATCAAAGTATTGTAACTACTATGAAAATGTAAAAAATCATGGGGAAATATGTTTTCACTTTAAAAAAAAAAATTTATTTATTTATTTGGCTGTGCCGGGTCTCAGTTGCGTCACGTGGGATCTTCATTTTCACATGCAGGGTCTTTAGTTGCAACTTGCTGGATCTTTGGTTGTGGCATGCGGGCTCTTAGTTGTGGCATGTGGGATCTAGTTCCCTGACTAGGGATCGAAGCTGGTCCCCCTGTATTGGGAACGTGGAGTCTTAACCACTGGACCACCAGAGAGGTCCCTTTCCACTTGTTTTTAAAAATTATCCTTTATATTAAAGTAAATAAGTAGATGATTTTCTTTTTTTTTTTCTATAAAAGCTGTGTTCTGGGCATGAAAATATCTTGAAATATAGAAGCACAGTCATGAGATTTTCTGTTATCTTAAGATTGAATGACAGTTATACAGTAGCTGGATTAAGAGGGTTATACCAGTGGATAGTAATATGTGAAGGAGAAAGTAACAATAATTTATTAATCACTTGGCAGGAAAAATTAAAATGTTGGGTGGTTTCCATTAGCCATAGAGATTACATGTGTGTCATGTTGTTGAGGTAATACCCCTAGGTTTATCATAATCTAGTAAGACTTAATCTGTAATTTTATGAATTCTATTCCAATTAATCTGCCTGTATTATTCATGGAGTCTTTTGCTTATAGGGATTCTGGGACCATAATGATTCCTTCAGTTATTTTGGTTTTGTTTTAAAATCACATGTAGTATAGGTATATTAATATCCGTAATAGCTATAATCTGATTATGTGTAGGTGCTGCCGTACATTCTGTCCATTTCCACTGTGCTGCACCTTACTTTAGGCTATTATCTCTTGCATATGATGGAAAATAACTACCTAGGAATTTCAAGATTGGCTCTTGATAAACAATAGCTCTGCTTCCATTATAGTTAAATGGAGACCTCTACATTCTTATATCTGCCTTATAACTCTTTCTTAAGTAGCTGGATGTGCTTTGCAGGACTTATACCCAAACTGTTCACTTATTCAGCTGTTAAGTATTAAGTGCATACTCTTTCCCAAGCAATGTTACAGGTACTGGGGCTACAAAAGTGAACAAAGTAGGCAAGGTCTCTGCATTTGTTAAACTTACCTTCTAATGGGGAGAGACAGGAAATAAGCATGTAAATAAATAAATACTTTCGCTTAGTGTTAAATGCTGTAAACAATATACGGTAATGGGTTAGACACAGACTGTTAAACAACTCTGAAGGTTAATGAAGTGCATTCATTGCACATTTAAGTGTACGTTCCATGAGAGCCAGAATTATTGTCTGCTTCGTTCAGTATTGTTTTCCTAGTGCCTAGAACAGTACATAGTAAGCTCTTCTTAATTATTTATTGAATAAATTGCTTAAGTATCTGTGCCATTGTTCTTGTATAAGATTTTACATCTTTAGCTGTCTGCTTAGGAGTTGCAACAAGACCTCTGAGACACGTGGGGGCTCTTTCAGATCTGTGTGGGCAGAAGGGAATTCTCCATGTCCCACTTTAGTTGTGCTTCAGTTTTATACAGTTTAGTAGAATACTGTGTGAGAGGCACAGAACTCTAGGAAGCTATGATGAACCCTGAAGTCTATGTGTGGATAATCAGTGGGTGCTTTTAACATGGGAGGGGGGGTGACCATCATCAAATGTAGTAATTCTACTTGAATCTGAGGATGCTTCTTACGAACCCGTATGTGTCTAAATGGGCCTTCATTTGTTTTTAAAGCAAAACAAATGCTTTAAAAGATATATCTTTTGAAGATATATCTTCGTGGCAGGGAAGGGATAGAACTCTTTTTCAAAATTACACATGTCCTGCCTTACTCCCAACTCACTATAGAGTAGAGGGGCAGTGAGGAGATGTGTATTGTGAAATTTTTTTAAAAGCTTCCTAGGTGATATTTGATAAATTGATACACTTCCCCGACTAGAAAGAATAATTGCATATCCTTATTTATTTAAAACATATATCTACTTATAGTTGCTAGTAATCCACTTTAAACAGTTTTTATATTTTAAACAGTTTTTGAGTTATAAGAACTGTGAGTTCATTTTATTTCTCCTTTTAAATATTGCTCTGGCATGACTTATTCCATAAACTAATTTAAGGTAACATTTTGTCAAATGATTGAAGTAACAGGGGAAAACTAGACATTTGTCAAATGATTGAAGCAACAGAGGAAAACTAGACACTTAATCATTTCTATGTTTATGTACTCTGGGGGTAACTTCTGAGTGAGAGTAGGCAGCTGAGGTCCAATTATTAAATTTTTGAATTTAGTTTAAATCTTCATTGAACATGGGACTTCCCTGGTGGCACAGTGGTTAAGAATCCGCCTGCCAATGCAGGAGACATGGATTTGAGCCCTGGTCCGGGAAGATCCCACATGCCGCGGAGCAACTAAGCCCATGCGCCACAACTACTGAAGCCCGTGCACCTAGAGCCCATGCTCTGCAACAAGAGAAGCCACTGCAATGAGAAGCCCGCGCACCACAACGAAGAGTAGCCCCTGCTCATTGCAACTAGAAAGCCCGCGCGCAGCAACAAAGACCCAACGCAGCCATAAATAAATAAATTTATTTAAAAAAAAATAATTTTCACTGAACAGTCTGAAGTTTGGTTGGAACAGGCTCTCATCACCTGATATAAAGAAGAAAATCATATTTTCATTTTGAAGAACAACCAAAAATGTTTCCTCTTTGCTCCTTCGTGGGTGCTTCAAAACCCTCCCAAGTGTTGCTCATTGTTTTAAACCCTGTTTAAGAGGAAACTGATGAGCTGTGAAGAGTTATACCCACTGAGCCTTAGTGTCCTAGAGCATACTGTACCTTTCCATTTTGGAAACTGAATATTTTTCATAGGCTTCTAACATACCTGGGCAAACTTTTGTTAGCCTTAGTGTGTGAACTATATGTATAGCAAAAGTAGCTTATAGCTGTGTCTATGTGATGCCTCAGTGGCCTATTGAAAAGAAAATGAAACGGATTATATAGAGTCAAGCTATTTGACTAAATTCTGCAGTTACTGAGCATTCTGACAGTATATTTAATTTGAAGAAACAGGGTTAAGAATAAACTACAAGTTAAATATTACTTTATTTGTATCATGTTGTCTTTTAATTGCCTGAGTAATCAAGCCCACAAATGGAAGGACTGTTGCTACAAGCCTTAAACTTAAACATTTTAGAGTTGAATAACTCTGAGAACTTGCTGTTTTCTATCATGTCTAATGAAAGTCTCAAAAACTGTAAAATTCTCAAAAGAAGAATGCATTATTTTTTAATCTTTTTTTTTAAACTAGTGTTCAGAACCAGGTGGATGAAGTCATTGATGTCATGCAAGAAAATATTACAAAGGTAATAGAAAGAGGGGAGAGACTAGATGAACTACAGGACAAATCAGGTACAGATACTTCATATAATTCTTGATGTTATTAATCTGTATTTTGATAGTTTACTTCTTGCATTTTTCTAGCCAAAGTTTAGGAATCTTGACTTAGGAAAAATGGCATTTATGGTTTTAATGTTTTTAACTTTAGCTCCCTTTATTTTTTTTATATACAATTTATTTTATTCAAGTATAGTTGATTTACAATGTTGTGTTCATTTCTACTGTAAAGTGATTCAGTTATACATATATATATATATATATATTCTGTTTCATATTCTTTTCCATTATGGTTTATCACAGGATATTGAATATAATTCCCTGTGCTATACAGTAGGACCTTGTTGTTTATTCATTCTGTGTATAATAGTTTGCATCTGCTAATCCCAAACTCCCAATCCATCCTTTCCCCGCCCCCGCCACCCCCCACCCTTGGCAACCACAAGTCTGTTTCCTATGTCTATGAGTGTTTCTGTTTCGTAGATATGTTCATTTGTGTCATATTTTAGATTCCAAATGTAAGTGATATCCTATGATATTTGTCTTTCTCTTGCTGACTTACTTCACTTAGTATAATAATCTCTAGGTCCATCCATGTTGCTGCAAATGGCATTATTTCACTTTTTCTGGCAGAGTAGTATTCCATTGTAATATGTACCATATCTTCTTTATCCATTCATCTGTTGATGAACATTTAAGTTGTTTCTATGTCTTGGCTATTGGAAATAGTGCTGCAGTGAACATTGGGGTGCATGTATCTTTTTCAATTATAGTTTCCTTCAGATATATGCCTGGAAGTGGGATTGCAGGATCATATGGCAACTCTATTTTTAGTTTTTTGAGGAACCTCCATACTGTTTTCCACAGTGGCTGCACAGTTTACATTCCCACCAACAGTGTAGGAGGATTTCCTTTTCTCCACACCCTCTTAAGCATTTGTCATTTGTAGACTTTTTAATGATGGCCGTTCTGACCGATACAAGGTGGTACCTCACTGTAGTTTTGATTTGCATTTCTCTAATCATTAGAAATGTTGACCGTCTTTTCATGTGCCTGTTGGCCATCTGTATGTCTTCTTTGGAGAAATGTCTATTTAAGTCTTCTGCCCAGTTTTCGATTGGGTTGTTTGCTTTTTTGTTATTGAGTTGTATGTAGCTCCCTTGGCTTTGAATCATCTTATTGTTATATTATTTCTTTAATTGGTCAGTTGAGAATGGAAAGATTAAAAATTCATTGTTGAAGAGTTAGATTATTTTTTTCTTTTGTCCTGTTACGTTGATGTGCTTTGTATTTCTCCTGATCTCAAGGAGGATAGGTCTAATCACTTCTTTTCAAACTTATTTCACACATATCTAATATTTTTATCTTATGCTTTCTCTGATGACTTAGTAACATTTCTTTACTGACAGATGTTAGTCTCTGTTCTTATAACAGTCCATGGCACTTATTAGGCACTCACATATTTTTTAGATGATGAATGGCTGAGTGAATATCTGATTAATCCTTGACAGACTTTTTTAACCAAAAAACTTATTTAAACACTTTAAAAATATTGTTTTGCTTCAAAATCAGTCACTTTTGATATCTTCTAAGAATCTAGCCTTCTCCATGTGTAAATTTTTTTTTCTATAGTTGTGCCAAGTATTTGAATTTTTAAAGAGTATTTCTACCAGAATTCATAAGTTTATTTGAAAGCATTGAGGCCCTGGGAAGACTTCTCTTACTCTTATTGTAAAAGTGGATTGAGCAAACTGACCTGCAGCCATTTTTTACTTTTTGTTTTTTTTTTTTAGAATACAGAATGCCAGAGTTTGTGGATAGAGGAAAGGAAAGATGTTTTCATGCTTAAAAGGGAATAGATTTGCAGAAGTAGAAATTAATGTTTGTCTTTGTGTGACTAGATAAAAGAATGCTGTTATGTTGATTAATCCTTCTCTCCATCCTCTATGTGATATAGAAAGCCTATCGGATAATGCAACTGCTTTTAGCAACAGATCCAAACAACTTCGAAGGCAAATGTGGTGGCGTGGATGCAAAGTAAGTAAATTGGAAGATATTGGATAGGTCCGTCAGCATATCCAGTGGTATTCAAAGACATGAAGAAAAAAGGGCCTCTAGGTGATAAGCTCTGTGGGGAACGGGACTACAGCTGTCTTGCTTATTATTATATCTTCTGAACCTGGGACATGGTGGAACTCAGTAAATATTTGTTGAATTAATATCTTATGGGTCAGAAATAACTAAAGGAATCAAGCAGTGCCTAAAAGGATGTTTTCATGGATTTCTTCTTAGAGAGTAATCCACATTTTATTAGTAATTTAGCTTCCTCTAGATTTATCTTGTAAGAAATATTAACTTGTAATTTATTTTTAGTACCTCTTTGGAGCAACCTATAGCATTACATAGAGATATTTAAAAGACAGAAAGCAAGCCAGAGAAAAATACAATTTTCTGTTGGATGGAGAAAAAAATAAAAGCAGTTTAATGTGTCAGAATCCATATGGCAAATGGGGCTAAAAAGAAAATCCCACTGTCCCTCATTATTCCAGAGAAATAAGATACAGTCTTATGCCATACCACCCTCAACCTGCCTGATCTCAGAAGCTAAGCAGGGTCAGACCTGGTTAGTACTTGGATAGGAGAAATAAGATATAAAAGAAAAATTTGTCATTTTTGGCTTTGTTGAAAACCTTGGATATACCACATTGTTTTTAGTCTCTCATTTTCAAGTTTAGCAATAACTTTCAAAACTTGATGTGGACATATGCCAAGGATTTCATTCAAGAGTTGCCTTGGATTTGCTTATTTCTGTCTGTTGACCTGTTGAATCCTCTTACTTTCAGAAGTAGAACTTAGGGAAAGAAACAAGTTTCATTGCTCCTCTTATGTAGAATTTAAATTTTCTGTTTTTCTTTAATGAATAAATTTTCTATTTCTATAGAAATTTTCTATCCTGCAGACTAGTTTGGAAGAACAGAAGGTCCGTGAGCTACCTCCTCTCCCCACATGACTCATTCATGTGGCCATTAACAAAATGATAATGTGCATTTTGCCTAGCTTTTTTTTAGCTATATCTAAAGAGTTTCATTTTGTACTTTATGGGGTCCACATCAAAGGAATAGTATGCTTTTAAGGGGAAAAATTGAATTCTATTTTTAATTTATATTTTTAAATAGTCTCTATATCACTACCATTTTCTTGATTAACTTCATAATGATTATTTGGGAAGAGCTAAGGAAAGGGATATAGGGACAGAAAAGAGATCAGAGGTTGCCAGTGGCTAAGGATGGAGGGGTGGAGATTGACTACAGCAGGGCATGAGGGAACTTTTTGAGTGATGAAAATGTCTTACATTTGACTATGAAGGTGATGGTTGACAACTGTATGTATGTCAAAACGCATCAAAATGAACTTTAAGAGGGTGAATTTTATTGTATGTGAAGTATATTTTAATAAACCTGACTTTAAAAATAAGTAAGTGAACAGAATTATCCAATGGGTGAGGAGAGAGAATCAGTGACACCTCTCTTAAGTATCTTATGGGGCTCTGAGGCTCTTATGTGTTTAATGAGAAACAGATTTTTGTCTGTTGTTTGGAAGAAGAGAACTTTGGACATGCATGAATACATTGCTGCCATTTTTGGTTGTAAACGTTTCCTGGCCAGCGTTAGAAACTCCGTTTATTTAGGTATTTTAAAATTGGTATTGATATTTCCATTTAAATCTTCTAAATGTTAAGGCTAGCACAAATTAACAGGGCAAATTAAGATACATTTTTGGTAAAGTTGAAAAGCTATTGTAAAATTCCACATTACTTTAGAAATGTTTTCAGCTTAAAAAAAAGATGCAGAGCTTCCATATATTCTCTGGATCACTTGGTCACTAAGGTACTTTACAGTGTAAAGTACTTTCTACATTTTTTGGTTATCATAATTAATAATTTTAATAGGCACCTGGTATTCAAATTGGAACGCCTCCATGTATTCTCTTGGTCACTTTGTTCTCATCATGAGTGTAATGCCACTAAAATGCAGCCAGTAGTTTTATTTTAGAAACATTTCATTAGCTACTTCTAGTTGCTGTTTGTGATATTCATCAGAGTGTTTTATGTGTTTATAATAACTGGGTATCTTTTTTCTGAATGAACCATCTTAATTATCTATGAAAATGTTTGGTGAAAACAAGACTCATTTGAATTCATCAGGAAAATCAAGTCAATTTATAATTTATGCATTTTAGGATTAGATGAGGAATGTGACAATTTTATGGAGAGAGGTGATATAGACCTAAAATATTAACTAGCTAAGGACTAATCTTAAGGTTTCTCTTCTCGACTGTGAAACTGACACACAGAATGCTCTTAGGCAAGTTATTTATTAAATGAGGTTCTTCACAAAAAGTATAAACTATATTCCTCAAAATGAAGATAAAAATGCTAAGAAGAAAGTAAGGGGAGCAAAAACTAACAATTCTAATATACTTTGAGAATAAGTGCTATAAAAAATGCTGCCTTATACTATATATATTGAACCATCTGTATTGGATGCTAATCTTATTCATAATATCCTGACACTTCTGAACAGAGTTGATAAAATATTGTTCTTTTCCTGGTCTTAGATTAGAAATGTGTGAGAAATCATAGACAAAAAAGAGCAGGCCCATAAAGGCTTTGATTATTACTGTTTACTCTGCAGCCTTAAACAATAAAATCTAGGCAAGCCAAAACCCTCAAATTTGGGGAACTCTGATTATTACAGAAAGATGCAAATAGTCAGAAGTTCATATGAGAAAAAATTTGGAAACCTTTCAAGGAATGAGCCTGTCCAATGATGAGTTAGTGTAATGTGGTAAAAAGCACAACAGATAGTCTTTATTAACAAGTCAGACATTAATCTTTCTCATGCCTTTTTGTGTGTTGTAGATAAAAGCCGTCATGGCTTTGGTTGCTGTTATCGTTTTGTTAGTGATTATCAGTAAGTATTTACTGGATTATTAATTTGGAGGGGGTGTCATTTGTTTTGAAGTTCATTTAAATTTCCTTTTAAATTTATATTCAGTTGACCTAGTATGACTAATGTCAGGATTGAGTAATGACTTCTGACTCCAGTAAGGAGCTCTTAACCTAGAATCTGTAGCTCTCTGAAAATGCACATAAATTGTATGTAAAGTTTTATGTGAATGTGTATATGTACAGTTTTATGGTGAGAGTATATCTATCTTTCATCAGATTCTCAAAGAGAACCTCTGTCCTACCCTCCACCCCTACCCCTGCAAAGGCAGGGCTAAGTGATGTGTTTGAGGCCAAATATGGCTACTATTAACGCTCAGGACCATAACACACATTTTCTATTTATTTTTAACTTTTAGATACGGCAGCTTGCATTTCATAATATTGTGTTTGAAGGAAAATCCAGATAAATTCTCCAGATGATAATTTTTCTTTTGGATTTGAGCTTCATTTCAGTCATTGAAACATAACTCTTGCCCTTCCTTTTTCCCCTTAATATTCTTTTTAAAATCAGATCATTCAAAAAAAATTTTTTTAGTGTAGTTGATTTACATTGTTGTGTTAGTTTCAGGTATACAGCAAAATGATTCAGTTATATATTATTTCAGATTATTTTCCATTTTAGGTTATTACAAGATACTGAATACAGTTCCCTGTGCTATATAGTAGGTCCTTGTTGCTTATCTATTTTAAGTATAGTATCTTGTATCTGTTAATCCCATATTCCTAATCTGTCCCTCCCCCTTCCCCTTTCCTCTTTGATAACCAGAAGTTTGTTTTCTATGACTGTGAGTCTGTTTCTGTTTTGTATATGGATTCATATGTATTACTTTTTAGATTCCACATACAAGTGATATCATGTATTTGTCTTTCTTTGGTCAGATCATTTTTAATATCTCCTTTTCTCCAAAGCTTCTTTATCTCTGTTTACAGGGATTTTATAAAGATTTGGAAAGTATCTCAGAATAGCCATTTGAAAAATTCCATGGTGATACTCTTTTTAAACAGAAAAAAAGATTTTGTTCTAAAGAAAAAGTCAGTCCTCATCATTTGTGGATTCTGTGTTTGTGACTTCACCTACTAGCTAACATTGATCAGTTACCCCAATGCTTTCAGAGTCATTGGCAGATGCGGTCAGAGAAGCGAATGTTAGTGCACAGTTTCTCACATTTTTGTGTGTCTTGTTGATGCTTTTGCTGTTTAAAAAGGCCCCCAAGTATACTGGTGCTGCAGTGCTGGCTAGTGTTGCTGAGCACAGCAAGGCTGTGATGTGTCTTATGGAGGAAATACACGTGTTAGATGAGCTTTGTTCAGGCGTGAGTGACAGCACTGTTGGACAGGAGTTCAGTGTTAATAAGCCAACAGTATATAGTAAATAAGGTGTCTTCACACAGAAACATGTAAAACAAGGTTATGTATGGATTGGTTGTCAAAAATGTTGTAGCCAGAGGCTGGCAGGGATTTAAGCCTGTGTTTCCCCTCAGAGCAGTGGTTCAGTGTTTACTCATTCAGTGTTTGTGATGACTTTATAGAACATAACTACTGCCAGTACCAAGAATCAACCCATGGAATGTTGAATAACATAAAGAAGAAAATAAAATCTAACTGTTCTCTTATCACACAGAGATAGCTACTATTAATATAACTATTGTATATACTTTAAGTCTTTTCCTATTAATATATAAACATGTTTTTCAAAAACTAAGATCATATGTATACTTTCTAATAAATATATTGTGAATATTTTCCCATGTTATTAAATATTTAGAAAGTATTTTAGCTGCTTTATGCTATGGTTATATAATAATCTATTTGATCAAAATTCTAATGTTAGACATTTAGGTTGTTTCATATTTTTGCTTCTCCATTCCCATTTGTTATCTATCATTTCAGATAAAAGTTGTCCTCATTAACTATTTTCAAACTGGACACAGCTACATTTAGGAGTATTGTTTCTAACATAGCATATGAATCTGACTTTGATGTTTCTTTTTCATTTTTTTCTCTTGCAGTTCTTATAGTTGTGAAATACCGTACTTGATTTGATGACAGATCTTCATTAAACAAAATCTGGGACAATAATAATAAAAGATTGCTGCATAATTTAAATGAAACCCATGTATATAACTTTCAAAGCTTCTTTTTCAAGAAATTAAGAGGCAAGTATCACTTCAAATTGGAGCATTGAGAATGTCCCATTATCTTCTTCCCTTCCAACAAAGTGTGCTTTTAATAATTATGTTTAAGGCGGGGCTGCCCTGGTGGCGCAGTGGTTGAGAGTCCGCCTGCCGATGCAGGGGACATGGGTTCGTGCCCTGGTCCAGGAGGATCCCACATGCCGTGGAGCTGCTGGGCCCGTGAGCCATGGCCGATGAGCCTGCGCGTCCGGAGCCTATGCTCCGCAACGAGAGAGGCCACAACAGTGAGAGGCCCACGTACCGCAAAAAAAAAAAGAAAAAAAATTATGTTTAAGGCAAAGATAACCAGCCTCGATTTTGCCATATTCCAAAGGTCTAATTTGAAACTAGATACTTGCCAGTTCATTATTTGTATATATAGTTAAACACTGATAATGATATTTCATACTGTTATTTTAATGGCATAAGGACTTGCATTTGTTGCATCAAGGTGGGGGTCAGGCTGGTGATCAGGGAGCCTCTGTAGAGTACCAAATCATTATGCCGAAAGACATGTGTAACCATTCCATTGATATTTGCAAGATTCTTCTCATATTACAATTGCTTTGCAAGCAATTTTCACATGTTTATGGGTGTAACAAAAGCTAAATGTAAATGTTGCTGCCTTCAGCTATAACTAACAACATTCCAGTAAACCTGTTTTTGACTGTATAAGGGAATGTAGTAATTTTTTGGCATTTGGATTATAGAAATGGGAAATTTAAACAGTGTGAAAAGCATAGTATGGTGTCATAAAACTGGAAATAATAAAATTATTGGAGAGTGTCATTGGAGTATTTGAAAGTGACCAACATAAAGCTAGAAGTCATGGTCTGGTCTGTTTTCAGTTAGCCTCCAATAAGGAGGACCAGTGCAAATGTGAGTAAATGAAATCCACAGGTATCTTGTCCCCTACTTTTCTTTTTGTTAATAGCTTTCCTGTTTAACTTCAACTAGCCCTTTTACCAGAAGTGCTAAAAGTAGCAAAATCATCTGCTTAGAATTTGCGTTTTTTGTATTCCCTCTTTATCTCCTGGAAGATGCATGTGATACGTACAATCCAGTGTCACATTAGCCAACAATAATGAATATAAAAAGTCAGGAGCCTAGCTAATCAGAGTAACCAAATGCTAGCGTCACCATTAATCTCTGTCTGTTTTTATGATAAAAAGTGTTGTTAACTTTAAAATATGCCACCCTTCTTGGGTTGTTTAAACATGTGAAAGTGAACATACATAGTTCTCTAATGTGTGTGAGGAATAAGTTTTATAATAAAATTGGAGGTTCTGCAGAAACTTGTGTACATGGACATCTTCACAATGTATATATAACTCTAAATTTGAAATAGGAATAATAGAAAGTACCAGTATTTAAATAAGAAAAAAAATGATCCTTATTGCTTTGGTAATTTTAATTCAAAATGTATGAAACATAGAATCTTTGTTTTTTTGGTTTTCTTTTTAATTCTACAGGATTAGTACTAAGATGCAAAAATGTTCTCTTTAGAATGGAAAGAATTTGAAGGGAGAAAGCAGATTAAGAGGTATTGAAGACACCTTCAAGTCATGAAGATCTAAATATAATCGCTTAGTATTATAGTCTGCTAAGAACATTTAAAAAGAGATAAAGGTTTTACATTCTCTGGAGTGTTTTCTCTGGTCTCTCCACTTTGCGTAAATGTCAATTACTGTAAATAACATAATAAATAATAAACCCTTTGACAAAAGAGGATACCCAGGAAAATGAGCATTTTTAGAATTTCAGTAGCTAATGTACTTCAGGAATGGGAGTGTTTTAACTGAGTGGACAGAATCAGTACTAACATGTGTGTCCTTGATTTGGGATTGGAACTAGACTCACCAATGGTTAATTTTCCATTTGTTGGTATAGAAATCTGGTTTCTTCATATCTGTCGGTGAAGAGGAAGATTATTTCTCAAGAAGAATCCACATTTCCAGTGTTTCTTTAATAAAGTATGCTTTTAAATAAAGAAATAAAATTTAAAAAATTTTTAACCATGAAAAATAAAGGAAATATTTATATGACAATACCATGTATACGTAGTTCTCTTTGTATTTAAATATATTGCTGCTGAGAATACTGGTGGCGGCTATGTTACTCTGTTAGAGCTTTGCACTAGTGGTGGCTTGGCTCACAGTTTGTCATTTCATCTTTCTTGGTCTTCATTAATCCTGAGACCCTTAAAGTGGCTGGCATGTTTATGACTTTATTATCATAACCTTGGAGACATGAGCCTTCAGAAAAAGAAAAATTTGTTCAAATTGATGCCAGGCCTACCTTCCTCCCCTCCCTTAATCATTCTTATTCAGCTCGGATCATCCTGCACTTGAAAAATGAAGTTTCCCCACCATCAGAACTCTCATTATTTAACAGCAATGCAGAGCAACAGAAAAATTCAGGTAGCTTTGTAAATACTAGTTGATACCCAGTGAAATCAGGTCACTATTTTTATAATGCCTGCAACATACCCTCGTGATTTATGTTTAATTACTGAAACCTATTGCCCTGCAGCAGTTTCATGATAATGCTGATTAATTAGTTCCTCCTACTGATTATAACCCAGTAATACCTGTGGTTTCTTGGCCCCTCTATCCTGATAAAGCTCACTGGAAATTGCTCTCAGGTATTATAAACATGGGGATTTCTTGACTAAAGAAAAGTTCATTGTTGAAAATGGAACGTTATCTAAAATGGAGGAAGGGTAATTAGTACACATCAAATACAGAAATACCTTCTGTTAGCGCTCCTGTAGATTGCTTATGGTAGTCTTCCTGTGCAGTCACTCTGCACTAGAAAATTATAACTTCATTTTTTTAATAGAAAAATTGGGCATCTTTCAATTCTGTGTAGCATGTGGGTATCCTGGAAATGATTATACGTGTACAAACTGAGAAGAAAAAAAAATGGAAATTTCTCATCAGAACAATCTTAAACATGCTTAATGGCCTGTCAGCATTGTTGTCCACACTATCTACATCTAAATATGTATATACTACAATTAGAAAATACACAAGAAATTATCTTTTCATGTTGAGAATGAATGCCTTTAGAAGATGTCTAACTGTATTGCGTCAGTATTCCTAAGTCTAGGAAAACCAACTCATGTTAGTCTAAGGTTGTGTTTTCACATGGAAATGTGATTGGAGTCAATTTTATTTTTCCCTGAGTGGGATCAGTCCAGAAGCATTTATACACTTGTTTCAGAATGCAGCGTAGTGCTGATATTTCTGTAGGAAGTTGCTGCAACGTAAAGACACTGAGTCAGAAGGAGCTGGAAGGCGCCCTGCTTCTCAATCCATCCACTGTTTCTTCCATGTTGTAGACAAAGTGGAACCATTTCTTAGACTGATGTGGGACTTGAGCCTTCTGTATAAGTTTGTCTTACTCTGACTTTTTCTGGAAATCAAGTAGAATAAGGGATAGGGGGACACAAACTTTTATTCCTGCTCCTGTTTTATTTAAGGAGCTGTTTGGGACAGCTCAGTAGGAATTGAAAGCATGACCAACCCAGCATAGTGCTGTGCTCCTGGCCAGATGAGTGTGCCTAGGAAAACCACAAAGACACCGGTGAGTGTTGGTGTCCATATTCCTCACTGCAGAGATGGCACGATTGACATAATAGTGGGTCTTTTGCCTTTACCAGGAGATAGTAGTGCTCTTTTATAATAATTGGGTAAAGAAAAATTCTGATTTTACAGTATTTCATTAGGTTCTTTTCATTTGAAAAGGTCTTGAAATCAAATCATCTGTTAAATATTTGAAGGCTACAAAGTAAATTGCATAAATCAGAGATTTTAGTCAGTAAAATGTCAGAAATCAAACTCTTAGAAAACTCAAGCCCTTGATTTTATGCCTGGGGTATGTGTCATTGTTTTAAATTCCACACTCCTTTATTTAAACATTTTGATAAGTGCCTTTGATGTTTTAAGAGGTGTGGTGGGAGATGAGCAATGAAAAAGATGTGCACCCTGTTCTCTATTTTTTTTAATTTGAATTTATGTTTTATGCAGCAGGTTCTTATCAGTTATCCATTTTATACATATTAGTGTATATATGTCAATCCTAATCTCCCAATTCATCCCACCACGACCCACCCACCCCCCACTTTCCCCCCTTGGTGTCCATACGTTTGTTCTCTACATCTGTGTCTCTATTTTTGCCCTGCAAACCAGTTCATCTGTACCATTTTTCTAGGTTCCACATATGCATTAATACACGATATTTGTGTTTCTCTGACTTACTTCACTCTGTATGACAGTCTCTAGGTCCATCCACGTTTCATTCCTTTTTATGCACCCTGTTCTCTAGACTGTCAAGTCTTCATAACCATCTTTACCAGTGTTGCAAAGTTTAGTCCTTGGTGTTCCTATCAGATATGTATTTGTAGCCCCTCCACAGTAAACAGTAAAATAAACTATTTCATAGAAAACAACATTAAGCACTTTCTCGGCTCATTCAATATGTGTTGCCTGTTGCCTTAACTTTAAAGCATAACTTATTTGAAATACCATCTGGCTAATCACCCTGATTTAATCCATCCCAGTTTTCCAATAAAGTACATGGAGGAAAAATAAGAAATAAAAGGTGTTCCGTCACCAAAAACCATGCCCAAGCTATTAAGAGAATCTAGGAAGAATGTCTCAGTGTAAAATTACTGAGTCTCAACTGCAGAAAAACCAATTGCTGGAATACTCATGCTTTACCTCAGTGATGTCTATTTGAAAGGGAGGAAGGGGGACCAATTTCTCTCATGCTTTGTGTTCCAATCAGAAAACCTGGCACCTCCCTCTCAGCTGCATATGCTGCTTTCAGAGGCAACTAGAGTAGTGTTCATTCTCTTCAACTTTCCTCCACCCATAAACTAAATTTTGTCTCTTTAATTCTCCAAAAACGTGTGGGAAGGGGACGATA